ACCAACTGGACACAAGATGGACCAACTAGACAAAGATGGACCAACTAGACACAAGATGGACCAACCGGACACAAGATGGACCAACCGGACACAAGATGGACCAACTAGACACAAGATGGACCAACTAGACACAAGATGGACCAACTAGAGACAAAATGGACCAACCGGACACAAGATGGACCAACTAGACACAAGATGGACCAACCGGACACAAGATGGACCAACTAGACACAAGATGGACCAGCTGGAGACAAGATGGACCAACTGGACACAAGATGGACCAACTGGAGACAAGATGGACCAACTAGACACAAGATGGACCAACTGGACACAAGATGGACCAACTAGACACAAGATGGACCAACCGGACACAAGATGGACCAACTGGAGACAAGATGGACCAACTGGAGACAAGATGGACCAACTGGACACAAGATGGACCAACTGGACACAAGATGGACCAACTGGAGACAAGATGGACCAACTAGACACAAGATGGACCAACCGGACAAGATGGACCAACTGGACACAAGATGGACCAACTGGAGACAAGATGGACCAACTAGACGCAAGATGGACCAACCGGACACAAGATGGACCAACTAGACACAAGATGGACCAAACTGGAGACAAGATGGACCAACTGGACACAAGATGGACCAGCTGGAGACAAGATGGACCAACCGGACACAAGATGGACCAACCGGACACAAGATGGACCAACTGGAGACAAGATGGACCAACTGGAGACAAGATGGACCAACTGGAGACAAGATGGACCAACTGGAGACAAGATGGACCAACTAGACACAAGATGGACCAACTGGAGACAAGATGGACCAACTAGACACAAGATGGACAAACCGGAGACAAGATGGACCAACTAGACACAAGATGGACCAACCGGACACAAGATAGACCAACTGGAGACAAGACGGACCAACTGGACACAAGATGGACCAACTAGACACAAGATGGACCAACTAGACACAAGATGGACCAACCGGACACAAGATGGACCAACCGGACACAAGATGGACCAACTAGACACAAGATGGACCAACTGGAGACAAGATGGACCAACTGGAGACAAGATGGACCAACTGGAGACAAGATGGACCAACTGGACACAAGATGGACCAACTGGACACAAGATGGACCAACTGGAGACAAGATGGACCAACTAGACACAAGATGGACCAACCGGACACAAGATGGACCAACTGGACACAAGATGGACCAACTGGAGACAAGATGGACCAACTAGACGCAAGATGGACCAACCGGACACAAGATGGACCAACTAGACACAAGATGGACCAACTGGAGACAAGATGGACCAACTGGACACAAGATGGACCAGCTGGAGACAAGATGGACCAACCGGACACAAGATGGACCAACCGGACACAAGATGGACCAACTGGAGACAAGATGGACCAACTGGAGACAAGATGGACCAACTGGAGACAAGATGGACCAACTGGAGACAAGATGGACCAACTAGACACAAGATGGACCAACTGGAGACAAGATGGACCAACTAGACACAAGATGGACAAACCGGAGACAAGATGGACCAACTAGACACAAGATGGACCAACCGGACACAAGATAGACCAACTGGAGACAAGACGGACCAACTGGACACAAGATGGACCAACTAGACACAAGATGGACCAACTAGACACAAGATGGACCAACCGGACACAAGATGGACCAACCGGACACAAGATGGACCAACTAGACACAAAATGGACCAACTAGACACAAGATGGACCAACTAGAGACAAATGGACCAACCGGACACAAGATGGACCAACTAGACACAAGATGGACCAACCGGACACAAGATGGACCAACTAGACACAAGATGGACCAGCTGGAGACAAGATGGACCAACTGGACACAAGATGGACCAACCGGACACAAGATGGACCAACTAGACAAGATGGACCAACTGGACACAAGATGGACCAACTAGACACAAGATGGACCAACTGGAGACAAGATGGACCACTGGAGACAAGATGGACCAACTGGACACAAGATGGACCAACTGGACACAAGATGGACCAACTGGAGACAAGATGGACCAACTAGACACAAGATGGACCAACCGGACACAAGATGGACCAACTGGACACAAGATGGACCAACTGGAGACAAGATGGACCAACTAGACACAAGATGGACCAACCGGACACAAGATGGACCAACTAGACACAAGATGGACCAACTGGAGACAAGATGGACCAACTGGACACAAGATGGACCAGCTGGAGACAAGATGGACCAACCGGACACAAGATGGACCAACCGGACACAAGATGGACCAACTGGAGACAAGATGGACCAACCGGACACAAGATGGACCAACCGGACACAAGATGGACCAACCGGACACAAGATAGACCAACTGGAGACAAGATGGACCAACTGGACACAAGATGGACCAACTAGACACAAGATGGACCAACTAGACACAAGATGGACCAACTGGACACAAGATGGACCAACTAGACACAAGATGGACCAACTAGACACAAGATGGACCAACCGGACACAAGCTGGACCAACCGGAGACAAGATGGACCAACTAGACACAAGATGGACCAACTAGACACAAGATGGACCAACTAGAGACAAAATGGACCAACCGGACACAAGATGGACCAACTAGACACAAGATGGACCAACCGGACACAAGATGGACCAACTAGACACAAGATGGACCAGCTGGAGACAAGATGAACCAACTGGACACAAGATGGACCAACTGGAGACAAGATGGACCAACTAGACACAAGATGGACCAACTGGACACAAGATGGACCAACTAGACACAAGATGGACCAACCGGACACAAGATGGACCAACTGGAGACAAGATGGACCAACTGGAGACAAGATGGACCAACTGGACACAAGATGGACCAACTGGACACAAGATGGACCAACTGGAGACAAGATGGACCAACTAGACACAAGATGGACCAACCGGACACAAGATGGACCAACTGGACACAAGATGGACCAACTGGAGACAAGATGGACCAACTAGACACAAGATGGACCAACCGGACACAAGATGGACCAACTAGACACAAGATGGACCAACTAGAGACAAGATGGACCAACTGGAGACAAGATGGACCAACTGGACACAAGATGGACCAACCGGACACAAGATGGACCACCCGGACACAATATGGACCAACTGGAGACAAGATGGACCAACCGGACACAAGATGGACCAACCGGACACAAGATGGACCAACCGGACACAAGATGGACCAACTAGACACAAGATGGACCAACTGGAGACAAGATGGACCAACTGGACACAAGATGGACCAACTGGAGACAAGATGGACCAACTGGACACAAGATGGACCAACTGGACACAAGATGGACCAACTAGACACAAGATGGACCAACTAGACACAAGCTGGACCAACCGGACACAAGATGGACCAACTGGAGACAAGATGGACCAACTGGACACAAGATGGACCAACCGGACACAAGATGGACCAACCGGACACAAGATGGACCAACTGGACACAAGATGGACCAACTAGACACAAGATGGACCAACTAGACACAAGATGGACCAACCGGACACAAGATGGACCAACTGGAGACAAGATGGACCAACTGGACACAAGATGGACCAACTAGACACAAGATGGACCAACTAGACACAAGATGGACCAACTAGACACAAGCTGGACCAACCGGACACAAGATGGACCAACTGGAGACAAGATGGACCAACTGGACACAAGATGGACCAACTGGAGACAAGATGGACCAACTGGACACAAGATGGACCAACTGGAGACAAGATGGACCAACTGGACACAAGATGGACCAACTAGACACAAGATGGACCAACTAGACACAAGATGGACCAACCGGACACAAGATGGACCAAAATAGACACAAGATGGACCAACTAGACACAAGCTGGACCAACCGGACACAAGATGGACCAACTGGAGACAAGATGGACCAACTGGACACAAGATGGACCAACTGGACACAAGATGGACCAACTGGAGACAAGATGGACCAACTGGACACAAGATGGACCAACTAGACACAAGATGGACCAACTAGACACAAGATGGACCAACTAGACACAAGATGGACCAACCGGACACAAGCTGGACCAACCGGAGACAAGATGGACCTGAGACTGCTTTAGGAAATCTTCTGGAGACGGAAGGCTGACTTTGTAACTGCCTTTATGTGGCTGTGAAGGTTCAGGACAGTGTTCATCCTGAACTCTCGTTTCCAGCTGTAATAACTGAAGTTGTGAGTTGATTCTAGATCTGTAACTCTAGAATGTTCCTCTGTAAGATAAAACCTTCAGCTTCTGTTCATCTGGAGAAAGTTTTGGCTCTTCCACACATTTATCTGTTCTCAGCATCTCTTCAGTGATTGGATGCTTCAGACTCATGTGGTGACATCATGATGTAGAGCTGTGCATCATCTGTGTCGTCATGGTAGCTAATCTTAGTTCCCGTTATAATCTGAGCCAGAGGGGCATGTAGATGTTGAACAGGAGGGGTCAGAGGTCAGAGCCCTGAGGTACTCCACATGTGACATGAGGAAGTTCTGCTGGTCAACCTGAACCAGTCCAGAACTGGAGCAGAGAGTCCGGCCCGGTTCTCCAGCTGTTTCAGAGATATGTCTCGGTCAGCTGCTGCTCAAAGGTCCAACAGAACCAGAACTGTGGTTCCTTCAGTTCTTTGTGACTGAGCAGGAAAAACAAGGCAAAAACCAAAGAATCTCTGTAAACTCTTAGAAGTGGCTGGGTTTTCTTTTTTTTACATGTGTTTATATAAATGCAGCCATAAATCATGTCAGAGTTCAGTGTGCAGGCAGACAGCGGGAGCTGAGAGCCAATCAGAAGGGCCGCAGCGCTGCTGGCTGAACTATAAACCAGCTTTGCCTTTTTGGCTGACATCACACTAATTGCAGATTCCTCAGAGGAGCGAGTCAGCCCCACACAGCAGCGTGTTCCTGGGAATCGCAGCATCTGGACTCAGGAGAGATGACTCTTCCAGCTACCAGGTACAACATCTTATCGCTTTACACACTTTATCTCCTGTGGGAGACGCTGCTGCAGGCAGGAACCAGCAGATCTGGGATGATAAAAGGGCAAAAAATGTGTGGAAAGATTGTTTTTTACATATTTTACATAAACTGTAAAATATCTTACAGTTTATGTAACTCTGAGACAGAACAAGATGAAATAAAGTTAAATAAGCTGTAAATAAAAGTTGTTCTTTTTTTAAAACTTTGGTTTCTGGATCTAATTTGATAACTTTGAGTTAAATACTAATAATTTTTTTATCTTATTATCTTTGAAGATACTTACAGAATGTCAAAACATTTCTTTTACATATTAAATGGAGTGAAAAACTTATTTATATTCCCACTTTTTATTCACTTTTCCTTACATAACCTTATAGTTACATGAATCCAGTATAATGCAAATTATATCCACCAATAATATGTTCTGAGCTATTTAATGTACAAAATCAAAAATAAAAAAAATCTAAAATTTACTTTTTACTATTATTTAACGAGGCTTTATATTAACAAACAAATCAAACATGATGACAGAAGACAGACTTTTGTTTTTTCCTTTGTTCTGCTGCTCATTACTGTGACATGATAATTAACTCAGCTGGTTGAATGAGGTAAAACAATTACATTCTCCATGCAGAGGAAGCAGCGATCATGTTAATTATTGCAGGTTCTGCAGCAGCAGGGAGAGGCTCTGTGGTTCTGTTCGGGTTTTATCTGTTAAAAATGTTTCTGTTTCTGCAGCAGCAGCTCCACTGACTGCTGCAGAAAGAGAAACATCAATTCAGATTTCCAGAAAGTCTCCACAGCAGATCCCAGGACTGGAACATGCAGTGAAAAAATCTGGTTTGTTTGGAAACACGAGGCGCCACGTTAGCTCTCAGACTAAAGTCAGAACATTTCTGAAGTTTCTAAAATTAAACCAAAATATAAAGCAAAAAAAGGAGTTCAAGTTCATTTCCCCACATTAAAATCTGAAAAGTGTGGCTCTCCAACATTTTTTGGAAGCACCTGCAGTTACAGCAGGAAGTCTTTGGAGTTGCTTTGCACATCCATAATACAACCACTACCGTGCTTCATCATGGGGATGACGTCATCTGGCCAGAGCAGCTTCTTGCTCCTCCAGAACGTGAAGCAGACTTTCAGTGGGACGTCAGAGACCAGATTTAAACGACTGATGAGCAGAGAGGCTCTTACACCTGAGCAGTGGATCTCTGCAGCTCCTCCAGATCGACTGTGACCAGCCGATTCTCTGGTTAATGCTCTCCTCTTCCAGATGTTTGCAGTGGTTTCTGACTGAACAGAATCAGCAACACTGATTTTTATTTTGGTATCACAGTAAAAGGGGCTGACAACAAATATTTAAATATTGTTATTTATAAACTTTTTCAAAACCATGCTTCCTTTTCCTTCCAGTTCACTTTTATCCACCATTTGTTCTGTCACATAAAATTTAAATTAACTGTTTAAAATGTGACAAAATGCAGGAATGTCATTTGAAACCAGTGAACTTCATCATATCTTTTTCCCATATTAAACACAGTTTGTGTTGTATATTATGTTTCTTTGCAGCTTCCCTGACCTCAACGCCACGGCGCCGTACGGCGACTATGACGGCGCCAACGTTACGGGCTGTCCCAACCCGGAGGCCTGGGACTGGCTGGCCAGCGGAGCGCCGGTCTACATCCTGGCCATCAGCATTCTGGGAATCTTCTTCAACCTCTTCGTCCTGATGGTCTTCATCCTCCACAAGAAGCCCTGCACCGTGGCCGAGATCTACCTGAGCAACCTGGCTGCTGCCGACCTGGTTCTGGTGTCCTGTCTGCCCTTCTGGGCCGTCAACATTTACAATCAGTACGACTGGCCTTTCGGTCAGTTCATGTGCAAAGTCGTCAATGTAGGCATCAAGTTAAACGTCTACTGCAGCATCTATTTCCTGGTTCTGGTTGGCATAGACCGGTATGTGGCGCTGGTGCACGCTTTGTCGCATGGTAGAATGCGCAGGCCAAAGTATGCTAAGCTAGGCTGCCTGCTAACATGGGGCTTCGGCTTGTTGCTCAGCATCCCAACATTAATCTTCAGAGAGGTGAGGCATTTTCCTGAGTATGGAGTTTACGCCTGCTACCTGGAATACCCCAACCTGACCGTAGAGATTCTCTACGACTGGATGCTGCTGGTTCTCAGCTTCGTCATTCCTGTTTCCATCATCTTGTTCTGCACTTTGAGGATCATCCGGGCGCTGAAGAAGCAGTCGATAGAAAGGTTCAACGCTGAGAAGACAGAGCAGAAGGCCACCATCTTGGTTCTGGTGGTCCTGCTGGCCTTCCTCCTCTGCTGGGTGCCGTTCCACCTCGTCACCATCCTGAACATCCTGGAGCGGGTCAAAGTCCTGGGAGGGTGCCAGCTGTCGTCCGCGCTGGACATCTGCAACCAGATCTTCACCTACCTGGGCTTCTTCAACAGCGTCCTGAACCCAGTGCTGTACGTCATCGTCGGGAAGAACTTCAGGAAGAAAGTTCAGGAACTCGTGAACCAGTGGAGCATCAAGAGAAGGATAACGTCTGAGTCCACTCGCTCCAATTTATCCTCCACACTCAAGACGTTAGTGTGAAACCAAACGACGAACTGCTCAGCAGAGATGTAAATATGTGTTCATATGATAATAAAGTGTATACGGTTTTAATGTTACTTGTAGAAAATTGTTGCATTTCAAAGCCAAATCTTGTTTTACTATTATAAACTACAAAGTATAAGCTATTTTTCATTACTGTTGAGTCATTTTTAATTGAAAATGTGTTCATGTGCTGCAAATATGGAAGTAACTTAGATGAAGTGAATGGTTTCTGTGAAATGTAAAAAAGCTTTCCATACTCAGTTTTAGAGAGTAGTGAGTGAAAACCTAATAAAGTTGCTTTTCTCATTGACAAAGCCTTCAATTAAATATTCATTACAACCAAAAGCAATCAAAAAATCCATGGAGGTTTTAAATGGCAGAGGTAAATACGGGAACTGGCCGAGTGTTTTTCTGCTGCCTCTGACTCACCCTCTGCAGTTACAGCACATTTTCCAACTGTGACACACAAGCATGGTGGTTTGTGGTCGGTGCACCGTCTCGTTTTACATTTCTATCCAAACAGGATCTGACGGCGCAGCGTCAGCTCACTGTGGGCTGTGGGCGAAGGCGCAACCCAGCCGGCCCGATAATGGAGGCTGGCTTTGGCAAACAGGAAGACTGGCCTGACCACAAGCACTACGGATGAAAATAGTTGTGAAAATAAAAAGTGATGCAAGCAAAGAACCTCAAATGGAAAAATATCTGCAGAAAAAGTAGCGTTTGTTTCTACTAACTCCGTTTTATTTACCTGCTCTAACTCTGCAGCCATGTTTACGCCTAACGCTGCTGCATCAGGATCCTATTTAATGGTTTCTGTCTATATGTTCACATATTCTGTGTTTCTTTTAACTTGGATGATTTCCTGGTCAGACCAACAAAAAGCCCAGAACACAACCGATCCGTTTTGGCTTCCAACAGAAAACCAAGAACGACGTTTGCACCAGTTAGAACAGGTTAACGTTAACGGCGCCTCACAGGCGCCTCAGAGCTGGGAACAATTTGATGAAACAGGAATGAGGTTCAATGGCAAAGTGACAATTCTGCTCTGGGAAGATACAGACTAAAAAGGTTAGCGCACGCTGCGTGTTTTAGACCCATTAATTCTTGTGATTTCAAGTGTTGATTCAAACATTATTTAATCTTGAGTCATCACCGCGTGACTCAAATGTCTGCAGAGGAGACAGAACACAGCTTCACTCCAGAAAACCTTCCAACATTTCACAAGCTGAGCTCTGAGACGCTGTGACGCATCAGGAGTTGAATCAGTAAGAATACGCAGGAAAAATGTCCGGCTTTTATAAACATGACACCACTGAGTATCGGTGATGGCAGAGTAAATTAAACAGCTGGAAACTCCGGGATAAATAAAACTTATCCAACGGCTGAAACCCAAATGCAGATGTAGCTGAAACACATAAATTTTTGATAAATTCTTGAAAAGTCGTCAGAATGTTGCAGCTGAAGGGCCGAAGTGAACGACATGAAAAGGAAGCCAAATCATCAGGAAAGGAAGAAATGAGCCTCTTTATGTTCGTTTTCAGAATGTGAAGCTACATACAGTCAACCCAGACGTTTCCCAGAATCCTCTACCACTGCGATGGGTCTTAAAGCAGACTGGGTGTGTCTGTGTTTCACCAAAGCCTGTTGATGCATATTTCACACATACCTGGAAGGAGTTTGCGCCCATCCAGCAGTAGGAGAACAAACTGAGCCAATCCTGTATTCAGATGTTTAACTCATCTTCTCCTCAACAGTAAAATTAAAGTTCTGCTTCTAATGCAGTGAAACATGAAGTGTAGGAATCATTTCAGACCACTTGGAAAGGCGGATTTAGATCATGTCATCATCAAACTGATCTTCTTCAGTCAACATGTCATAAAAGATAACAACACTGATGATCTTTACAGGAAGGGCCAGAGAAGTATTGTATTTTAATCTGTTCTTGTTTGGAGCTTTTTGCTGCATCATCAACATGCTAATTAGCTTTTGCTAAACCTCTGATGGTCATCATCGTCTTCATCAGATCAGACATTCCAGTCGCATCCGTAACGGTGTGAGAGTCATTCGAGATAAACTCTGACTCAAACATGGAAAGATGAACATAAAAACTAAAATCCTTCAGAATCTCTCAAAAATCACTCATCCGATATTTTCCAATGTCTCCTGGTCAACCGTATCCTTCTGCCTCTTGTGATATCATCAACATAAGAACATGGATTTGATTCCACTTGTTCAATTTATTTGAAAAAAGTTTCAGCTTGTGGTGGAAATTTGCACATCAGCAGCTAAACTGATGAGCAAGACGCCTGATCAGACGCTCCGAACGACTGCTGTTGTGTTCAAGCTGTGCTAAAGACAGTTAGCCTACCAGCACAGCTCTTCAAGCCTAAAATAGCATCTCAGTGCTAACATGAAGCAGCTAACGCTGATGTCAGTGACTACAGCCCACAGTTCTGAAACTCTGGAAAGATGAACTTTACTGCAATCTGCAGGTCGAAGAACCTGAACATTAAAAATGATACATATCTTTGTTGTTGAGCTCAACTGTCTGTTTATTCAGTAATTTACCAGCAAAAATTTAGTTTTTTAACTGGAAATGATGCTCATTTTATCAATACGTGGTTTTTGGTTAAAATGTGATTAATTAATTACAAACCATGTAACTAACTGGTTTAAAATGTTAATTGAGTCCCTGACAGTTTTTACCGTCAGTGAATATTTGTCAGAGATGGAATATAAATGTTCCTTATCAGGTCACTATTAGCCATAACTGGAGTCACTGGATTTGTCAGCAGAAGAGATTGCAGCGATAAGACTGAAGTCATCACCTCTGGTTTGGATGAAACCCAGCGAGCTGGAAACAAACGACGTGGATGACCTTTCTGATGACCTTTCTGATGACCTTTCTGAACTCCAGAGGACCTGAAGCAAAACGCAGGAACACAGAATCAGTTTCCTTCTGACCCGCCAAGAACAGAAGTGAAGAAGCTGCAATGAAAGTAGAATCCTGGGTAAATCATGGTGCAGTTCATGTTTATGCGTCGAGGCATTAAATGAGAAAGTCAACGTCTGGGTTTCTCTTTCTGGAAGCAGAAATAACACTTATCTGATTTCAATAAGTTTTCTGTCTTTAAGAACTCAGAAGAACTAAATCATTATTGAGCTTTCAATTACAGAACATGTTTTAGAGGAGTTTAAAGTTTTCTTTTTGAGACATTAGTGGAAAAGCGATTTGGATGCATATGGAGCAATGGCAAACTGTTGGATTAAATCTGAGTTTACTTCATGAATGGGCAAAAAGAGCAGATATTACACACACACACACACACACACACACACACACACACACACACACACACACACACACACACACACACACACATCCCCAACAGGATTCAGACAGAGCTGTTACCCCAACATGAATATTTCTGGCTGTGTGGAGAAGAGCTCTGAGGGAACCACATGCACAGGGAGAACATGCTACCTGCAGGCAGAAAGACCCCGAACTGGGATTCAAACCCACAACCTTCTTGCTGCAAGGCAGCAGACCTACTATCTGCCCACCAGAGAAAACAGATGATAACTAAAACAGGAAGAAGGAAAAGTTCAAGAGCTGCTGAAAGTAATAAAGAACAAGTTGAGGTTCTCATCCAGTTGAACCTCCAGACACAGGCCAGGAAAAGGCCTGCGTCTGGATCACAGCAAACAATATTTAAAGACAACAAAACATATTTTATGATCCTCAGGCTGATTTTTGTGTGAAAAATAAGAAATGCATGCAACACGCTACTGCCACCTGCTGTTCAGTCTGAACACAACCCTCACAAAGCCTGGGTCACTATAGACATTAATATCTTTGCATTCATGATGTTTGTTGTTGTGAAAACATAAATCCTGAGTTTAGATCAACTTTCTATAAAACCGATTAAAACTAGAAAATGTTTTCTTCTTTCTGTTTATTATATTTTATGTTTATTGAAGAATAGAAATAATATTTATTCATAGTTTCTTGTTAATATTATAGTAACATTGTTTCTAGTTTCTATATGGCTCACAGTTTGTCTTTTATCTGTTGCTATGGTTAGCCCAGTTCGCAGCAGCAGCAGCAGCGTTTTACCACCATCATCCCCTCAGCGTTTATAATTCAAACTGTGAGGCATTTAACCTCCAGCTGCTTCAGCAGCTTCAGTCTTTATGTGAAACCAGAGAAAGACAGCAGGTGGCGCAGTGACCCGGCGCGGCGGTCCAGTGACCCGGCTGTCCGGTGACCCGGCGGCTCGGTGGTCCAGTGACCCCCTGACCCGGTGCGAACTGGCGGCCCGGCATGGTGGGTCACATTGCATCAGCTCATATTGTGACATGATGATGAGGAACTGAGGAATTAAATCAATCCTGCAGACGACCTGAGACTGGAGGAGGTTCAGCTTCCAGCAGGACGACCAGCCTGAGATATTATGGGATGGTTTAGACCAGCGGTGGACAGCTCCAGGTCTCCCGTGTCTCTACTTCAGCAGAACGAGGTCGTCAGCAGGACTCTGCACTCAGAGGCGATTCAGCTGTTTGATTTGTGGACCAGGGAGGCATCTCGGAGTTGCAGGACGCTGGCCCTCGAGGACCTGGACTGCTCTCCCCTGGTTTAGACCACAGATGATTCATGGGTAAAAATGGCCTAGTTAAAGTCTAGATCTAAATCCAACTGAGATTCTGAGAAAAGACTGTTATGGGATCTGATTGAGTGCAAGCTGCTAAAGAAAACACACACCACACCTTTCAGATTTTTAGTCATGGAAATCATTTTCCTTCTCAGCTTCTCACAGCTTTCAGTCTGAGATCAAATCCTGGTGAAACTGCCTGAACGTTCTTTGGAACATGAGTAAAATGTTTCAGTCAGTGAACAGCTTTTATCAACGTCCTTCTGATCAGTTCCTGCATGTGGATCAATAATCTTAGCTGAGCCATTCCTGCAGCTGCTGAACAAACTCTCTGTTCTCAAAGTTTAGATCTTTTCCAGCTTCAGTTTTACTTTTTAAATCTGAACATTAATGACTTCAACACCTGAGATCGTTGTGACTCTGAGAGCAACTTTAACGTTCTGCTTCCTGCGTCTCATTCCGTCGTACAGGAGTGAGATGTGAAGGGCCAAACACCCGGCTTGCTTGTTGTTCTGGCTGGCTGGAGTTTCCACCACACATGAATCAGAAGTTGAATATTGGCAGCCGCTCAGCTGCGCAGCTCGGCTCCAACAAGCAACTTCTTTTTCCTGTGATTGTGGGAATCAGCAGAAGACGGAGGAAATGGTTCCAGTGCAGGAGAAGCAGCTCAGAGCAGTTTGACCCATTGAATGCCAAATCAAACAGCAGAAGGTTTTTCTCCATTTTGTTGATAAAGACAGAAAGGTGCCAGGAAAAGGCCTGGTCAGATTTCTGTCTGCAGGTGACGGAGGCAGCAGAGTTTCCCTTTGATTTTCTCTGCTATGATCATTTGGATCAATTAAAAACAGGAAAGTGGTTCCGTGGCGTTCTTTCTGAAAACACAGCTTGTTAGTAAAGTCAAGACAGAACATGTCTGAAGGTGAAGACAGACGCAGACGGTTTTATCACAATACAGACGCAGAGCGGAAAGAAAGATTCATGTTTTCATCTGACAAGAGAAAAGGCATCTCTGAAAATGTCAGATATTTTACTTGTGTCAGTTTGTATGACTGAGTTTTGCAGCTCCATTTGCTGCTTTGGGAGAATCCGACGTGTTTCCCTGCAGCTCTGCTTTGGTAACTTGGCTGACATCTTGTGTTGAAACCGGCTGCTGCAAGCTGTGAGGAAAACATGAGAACTGCCTCCAGATAAAGTAACTCCAGTCAAAACAACACCTTTAATCTGGTGTTAGAAATTATTACCAGATTATTCACTCATAACAGAAGGTGAACAATGTTGGCATTATTGTTCAATAATACTCCAGTCTGACCATAAAAGGACAAAACATATTTCAGATGATTCTTTTTCCTTTCATTTGCATTAAAAACATCCATTTCACATTTACACTGGGAACCTCCCTCCTGCACCGCCAGGCCAAAAACGCCGTCTGCGTTTAGGTGACCCAATAGGAGCTTCCTATTGGACGGACGACTGACCATAGCAGAAAGCCCCAGCTGGCTGAAAGCTGCAGCTGGCTGAAAGCTGCAGGTGGCTGAAAGCTCCAGCTGGCTGAAAGCTGCAGCTGGCTGAAAGCCGCAGCTGGCTGAAAGCTGGAGGTGGCTGAAAGCTCCATAACCTCAGCTGATGCAACGAGGAGCTTCTCATTTCTTTACCAGCCAGATGGAAAATCACATCATGTGGTCGTGGAAATGACATCAGGTCCTTGGCATCGTGCAGAAAGTATTAATATTGGGTTGATAACTATCCAATGGATTATTTAAAACTGGGAACCATCAGACATTAGATGGAAACAGCAGCAGAAATCAGGACGGTTCAAAAGTGAAAGTAGGAGTTTTTCCACAGGACTAAAGAAAACTCAAAGGATCCTGACTGAACAGATGTGAAACTCTGAAAAAACTCCAATCACAGGCAACACGCCCGGATTCCTCCTGAAGAAAGACAACCCTGTCTTCTTCCTCTTATTTTTGTTGTTGTTGGGTGGATCTGATGTTTTCACAGTGAGTCACTCCGGCACTGAAACAGGATGAACCTAAAACAGCCTTCAGTCATAATGAGCACCACGTGTTAAAGAAGCCAGAAAACAGCAACTCTACAGCATGGGAGTGGCATCATCATGCTGTGGGGTTGTACTGCAGCAGCATCACAAGGAAACGTGGGAAAAAAAGCAACACCAAACAGGAAGTTGATGTTTTGACAGAAACAGATTTTCCATGTGGACAACGAACTTCTGTGTCTCTCAAGGTTACAGTCAGGCTGAGGAGCAAAAGGTCAAAGGTCACGCCACCTGGTTCTGAACATGACTGCATACTGTAATGGTTTCTGGCTGAGAAATGTCAGTTATTTAGGTATGAAATGGTGAAGTGAACAAAAAGTGGTGAAGTCTTTTGGTGTTTATAATCCATAGAAAAATTTAAATCAAATTTCATGTAATTACGTTCCCATGAACTGAAGCCACAGTAAATTATTCAGAAGATGACAGGACGTCAAATTAAAAACCTGGTGGATGACTCACACAGGGAAACTGGCTGCTTGCTCCAAACAGGAAACCAGTAAATATTAATCGCTTCTCTTCAACAGGCCAGAGGGAATCGAGATTTTCTCCTGTCAAATTTCCACCAGGAAAACTTTGCAGTAAACCAGTAGAGCCTGTCACTGAGGCACTACTGTAACCACTTACTAACTGTCTTTATGTGTTTCTGGATGTTCAGGTCTGAGTTAATCTCAGATGGAAACTAGAGATCAGGCTGACCTCTGACCTGACCCTGTGTCCCAGAGGGGGCCTTTTAGCAGTTGCATTTCCAGAACCAGAGACTAAAGTCTCCTATCAGAGAAACTCATGCAGGCTTTGATTCCTGCTGCAGGTCTGACTGACTAATCAACACCACCCGGTTCTACACCACCTGGTTCTACACCACTTGGTTCTACACCACCTGGTTCTACACCACCCGGTTCTACACCACTTGGTTCTACACCACCCGGTTCTACACCACTTGGTTCTACACCACCCGGTTCTACACCACTTGGTTCTACACCACCTGGTTCTACACCACCCGGTTCTACACCACTTGGTTCTATATCACCTGGTTCTACACCACCCGGTTCTACACCACCAGGTTCTATACCACCTGGTTCTACACCACTTGGTTCTACACAACTCGGTCCTATATCACCTGGTTCTACACCACCCGGTTCTACACCACCCGGTTCTACACCACCCGGTTCTACACCACTTGGTTCTACACCACCCGGTTCTACACCACTTGGTTCTACACCACCCGGTTCTACACCACTTGGTTCTACACCACCCGGTTCTACACCACCCGGTTCTACACCACCTGGTTCTACACCACCCGGTTCTACACCACCAGGTTCTACACCACCTGGTTCTACACCACCTGGTTAGATTATTAATAACAGGGATGTTGATTGATTTATTTGGTTGATCTATTTTTATTATGCTCAGCTGTACAGACAACTCCTGGCAGCAGATCTGCTTGTCCTCTGCTGCGTCCTGGAGCTGAAGCTCTCAGCTCAGACCTGCTGCAGATGGCCGACCAAATGAGGAGCGTTCTCATCCGACCAAATGAGGAGCGTTCTCATCCGACCAAATGAGGAGCGTTCTCATCCGACCAAATGAGGAGCGTTCTCATCCAGCTGAAGGCAGAACGTCTCAGGTTGGTTTTGTTCTGTTATTAATTCTTCAAGTATTTCAACGTCTCATATCTGTGGTTTTATTTTGAAGTGCTTCCTTTTATTGTGAAGGAGTTCTGTTCCGTTTGTTTCTTCTAAACGTTCAGCTGGTCGCTTTGTGTTCACTGATCGGGTTCCGCAGTAACGATGTGAGTATCGTGTTAGTCACGTGACATAAACAGGTAGAAGCTAATTATCACCGAGTTGTTTACCGCTGGTATATTTCTATAATGTGTTCATGTCTGTTTTATTCTTAATGTCTTTGATTTTATTAAAACTGCCAAGCATTTAGCCGTTAGCATTTATCCATTAGCTTTGAGTTTCGGCCGGTTGGAGCCGGTTCTGCTGAATCTCACAGGGCTTGCAGTGATGTTTCTGTTCACCGTCAGAGAAAATTCACCAGAGATCTCTGTCAAAATCCATTAGGAGAAAAAATAAAACAGATCAGCATCAAGCTGAAGTTCAGAGCTGTTAGCTGCTAACCGTTAGCAGCTAACCGTTAGCAGCTAACGGTCTGACGTCACTGCGAGAAAAAAGATTAGGTTTTTCAAAGAGGATTGTCTTAGCTTAGAGACAATCAGGATAAGTTTCTTTTTGAGTTTAATATTTGGACACATAAGTAAGACGGAAGGTTCGGGTCTGAGCGCAGTACCGGATGTTTGTCCTGTGGTTACCGGTTCCGGAAAGACCCGACCGTTAAACACCGTTTTATCAATGGGCGGATGTTTGAGAGCCGTTAGCCACACAAAGCCGGAGATGCAGCCGGACGAGACGGAGAGAAACAACAAACCAAGAGTTAAGACCGAAAAAGAGAGAAAAACAGGCGGAGTGGAAATAAAAAGCAGGTGGGAAGATGGCGTCTTGAAACGACTCTTTAAACTGGACTCCAGGTCCAGTTAAAATCTCCTGGTGTGAACTTCTGACAGGCCAAAATATACAGACTCTTCACAAACCTTATGCAACTGAGAAACCATCAACTTTATAAAACAACAGCATCACTCACTCTGCTGAGTAAACTAGCCTGCAAAGATGAGCGACAAAGAAAAAAAAGGAGAAAATAAGCGGAAGACCAGGACAAGTCACTCCTCAGAACAAGATGCATGAGCACAACTACAGTCGCTTCAAATAATTTGAAGTGGCCATTAAAGCTGTTCCTTTAGCACAAACCAAACATCTAAACCTTCATTCAATTTTAATTGAAGGAACCAAAATAATGAATAAGAAATTTACAAACTGGTTTATCAGAACTCAAACTTTCTCCACTCCCATAAGTAAACATAGATGGGATTATTTGAGCCAAAAATTGTGGAGTGCAATCTCTTTATTTCCTTATAAATATATAAAACTAACAGGATCAAAGAATTTATATTTAAGATTTTACATAGATATTAGCGAGTTCTTCTCTCCAGATTTGTTCTTTTTGTCAGTGTGAAGGAAAGTATTAAACATTTATTTGTGGAATGTTCTCACCCTACAATATTTTGGTCAGGCTTGCAAAAACTCCTTTCAGAAAAAATATTGTTTTATCAAATTTACATATTTTACTCATCTTTAACAATTCAACTTTTTCTTTAAATGATATATATAAAAAAATTCCCTTAGGTTCCCGGTAGGTTCTCAAGATGCTCAGAGAACCTACCGCGGGTGGTTCTTATCCTCTGAGCTCGGGTCCTCTACCAGAGGATATATAGATATAGATCTATATATCCTGGGGTCCTCTACCAGAGGCCTGGGAGCTTGAGGGTCCTGCGCAGTATCTTGGCTGTGCCAAGGACTGCACATTTCTGGACTGAGATGTCTGATGTTGTTCCTGGGATCTGTTGTAGCCACTGCTCCAGTTTGGGGTTACTGCCCCGAGGGCCCCGATGACCACAGGCACCACTGTGGTCTTCACCTTCCAGGCCCTCTCCAGTTCTTCCCTGAGGCCCTGGTATTTCTCCAGTTTCTCCTTTTTCCTGATGTTGCAATCACTTGGTATTGCTACATCTACCACAACGGCTTTCCTCTGTTGTTTATCCACTACGACAATGTCTGGTTGGTTCGCCATATATATATATATATATATATATATATATATATATATATATATATATATATATATATATATATATATATGTATATATATATATATATATATATATATATATATATATATATATATATATATATATATATATGTATATATATATATATATATATATATATATATATATATATATATATATATATATTTAAAGTTTAGAAATAGTCTTTCTAGACTTTTATCAACACCCTCAATATATTTGTTTGTTTTTATTATAATATTTTAATATTTGTCTGAGTTAACATCTGTATGTATGTTTATGCTAATTGTTTGAAATAAAGGGAAAAAAAAGTTAGAGCTACATTGATTCCAAGTTTTGCATCATTTAAATTTAAACAGCACTTTTACTTGCTTGTGAATTGTTATATTTACATTTTTGCAATAGTTATTTTGAACCTTATTTATTATTTCTGTATTTTCAGAAACTGCTTCGATTTATTTGCACCGTTGTAAGACATAATCCTTCAGTAAACCTATTTAAACACCTGGTGACCAGTAAAGCTTTCTGACCGAAGCCCTGTAGTGATCAGTTAACAAAATCCTCAAACAGAAACAGAAACAGAAGGTAAACATAATCCATTCAACTCTTCAGGTGAGTCGGTCCAGGCAGAAGCGACCAGAAAACAGAACTGAAAGCTTTACGGCGTTGAAGACGTGAAAATGACCTGGAGGATTATCAGAGTCAAAAGTTATGATCTTAAAACTCTTATTCCCTCAGTGTATGACATTTCTTTTAACTATTGTCTTCAAACATAGATATATGCTTTTCTAAAGTCGTGTATAAATGGATGTAAAATGCACAGATATGTAAATGGATTCAAAGTGAAAATGAGCCAGTCCTTTATCTGGGTTTATTTTTATTCAAGAGAAAATCCAACATAATTTAGATAGTCTTATGGTTGATCAAACATTATGAATCAATAAACAGATCAGAACTTGTTCCCTCAGAGGTCATGATGGCAGTAACTGAGGTCCGTTTGTTTTATTCTCTGGTTGCCAGGATCAATATTTCTCTTCACCACAAACAGCGATAAAAATGTCAATAAATTCCAGTAAATATTACTAAATTCCAAAATATAATTAAATGTGGTTAATATGTGCAGTTTAGTGATATCTCACTTTTAAAGTCATGGAAACATTGGGAATAAAGTATTTGTGTTTATGGTGGTGTGAATGCTGCAGTCACTGACTTACAATTACCTAAAAACAGGACATTTTGTTTTTTTTTTAAATCATAAGCTTTATCAGCATCACAATATTACCACAAAGTCTAACAATAAAATTCTACGGTTATCAGTACCGGTTCATCCTTTTACTGGGTTTTCTTTGTTTGCAGCTCATAGAGTCTCTTCCGCCCTACTATAGCCTCCTGGTCTGACACCAGCTTGTCCAGCCAGATGGACGCTCCAGACCCCACATACTGGCACAAGATCCACATCCTCGTCCCTCCCTACATCTTCATCGTGTCGCTGTTTGGGCTTCTCCTCAACGGCTTCGTCCTGGCTGTGTTCGCAGCCCACAAGGATCGCCTGACAGTGGCAGAGATCTACCTGTGCAACCTGGTGCTGGCAGACTTCCTGCTGCTGTGTGGCCTCCCTTTCTGGGCCATGTACATCCTGAACTATTTCAACTGGTCATACGGAGAAGGTCTGTGTAAACTGGTCAACTCCATTGTTGTCCTCAATTTCTACACCAGCATCTACACCCTGGTCATGATCAGCATTGATCGCTACCTGGCGCTGATGAAAACCACGATGGCGCGGTGGCTGAGACGGACGCGGTTTGCTAAGATCGCCTGCTTCATTTTGTGGCTGTTTGGACTGCTACTCAGTCTGCCAAGCATAGTTCACAGAAAGGTCAAATTTATTGAGGAGTACAATACCACTTCCTGCATTCTAGATTACACCCACGGACGTTCTTGGAAGATTGCCCATCAGATTATGCTGAACATCTTAGGCTTCGTGCTTCCTCTTGTGCTCATTCTTTTGAGCAGCTGGAATATAATCAAGGCTTTGGCTCACAAGACGGAAAACCTCGCATTTCACGACTTCAACGATACAAAGTCTACGGTGCTGGTGTACACCGTCATACTGTTATTTTTACTGTGCTGGGGCCCCTTCCAGATTTTCACCTTCCTCGACATGCTGTGTGATATGGACACAAAGATGTGCTCTTCCAGTCTCAGCCTGGGCAATCAGGTTTCCGTGTACCTGGCCTTTCTCAACAGCCTGCTGAACCCGCTGCTCTACGTCTTCTCTGGTCAGTACTTCAGAATGAAAGTTGTTACCATGTTCAAGATGCTCAGAGACCAGTACAGAAGGTCATGCACGACCACACATCAGCAACCGCTGGTGTCCACGTTAGACAACAGAACAGAGCCAGTACAGCAGGTGGTCATCTCTAATGCTAACGATCAAGCAGGACTCGAATGACTTCCTCCTCTGCTCTTCCTGTGCTTCATAAGATGGCACGACACTAAAGACAGTAACTTTATGTTACCATACAATGGTTACTACGTCCCCAACCTGAGTAGGGGGCAAAGGTGAAGGATGTTATTCTACTCTTGTCAGCTTACAGACTCAATGACATCTTTGTCCTGAACTGAGCTTTTTGTATGTGCTTTGTTCCTTTCTACACTTTACATTTAGTTATTTTTCACAGGTGAACATCTGAAATAAAAATTTAGCATCCCTTCACCAAGTCCATGTTTTTTGGTTCTTGATGAATTTTTCTCTATATTTAAGACAAGACAAAGACATGTTATCACATTTAAAACAAACTGCCAGTTTGATGTCTATTGGGATTAGTGAAGGAACTGGATTAGAAATTTTAATTGAGTTAATTTAAAGGTCTGTAATTAATTGCATTTTAATTGGAAACCTTATTGACGAAATAAGCAACATTTTTGATTCAAAAACCAATTTTTGCTGCTCAGTTACTGAATAAATAGACAATAAAAATATAGACAGATTTTAATCTTCAGGTTTTTCAACCATCAGTCTGGAGAAAGTTAATATTTTCAGAGTTTCATAAGTCCTGATATTTCATGGAGCTTCTGCTGAAACCTGGACAGTAGACACTAACTTTAGCATCTACTGCTCCATAAATAAGTTAGCATTGAGATGCTATTTTAGGCTAGCATAGCTTCACTGAGAGCCTAACTCCTTTTAGCACAACTTGAACACAAAAATGTTTTCCAGCATCCAATCAGATCAGCTTAGAAGCAGAAATCAACCCTCAGTTGATTGTTGTGCGTCAGATTGGAGGGTCAAAGGTCACAGAGAGGCCAAGGTCTCAGATCTCATCAACAAGTGTTCTTTATCCACTTCCTGGTTGTCAGCATCTTACAACTTTTAGAAGTTTTTCTGTCAACAATCTTGAGCTACATTTAGTTTACAGTTAATCAGGTCATTAGCATCATTCTGTATAACCTGAGGATGTGATTCAGCCGTTGGATTTGGAACACATTAAACACTTTTAGGAGTTGGACAGAGAGACGAAGCAGCTGCCTGACCCAGACTGGAGGAACAGTTTCAGGTTACAGTTCTGTTTCTGTCTGAAACTTCACTGTAGAAACTAAACTTCACTGTAGAGGCTTCATGAACAGATGTTATGTTGGCTCTGTGTTTGAGCCATGAATGCACAGAGAGAACATCCAAAGACCCCAGGCTGGAGTTTGAACCCAGGACCGTCCTGCTGCAAGGCAGCACTGCAGCCATTCAGCCCTAATTTATCTGTTGTTGTAAGTCTATTACTTTCTATGTTTTGTATTTCTTCCCAACAGTTTCTATGCCGCCTGTTTCCTGCCTCAGAGCTCGGCTTACTTTTCAAGCTCTCTCCTCGTTAAACCATCAGCCTGGCAGGAGAACGTGTGATTGACATTACAAGCTGACTCCGCCCACTTTAAACTTTCCCATATGGAAAATGATTAGTATAATTAGCACAGTGTTGTCTGGAAACCGGCTCTTTATTAAATATGTTCAGCAGATTGGGTTCAAACAGGCAGAATGGCTTTAATTTTCCACCAGCGCAACAAAGTTCCTTCTTACAGAATATTTAATAGAAACTGTCAGCAGCCATTCTGACACTCTGATGAACACAACACGTCTTTGTGAGGGAAACTACTGGAGCTGCTTGGTAACGGGTCCAGTAACAGTTCATTACGGTGAACATGACTGAGATGCTGTTCAGGAAGTTCAGTAACATCTTTTTGTTTCCAGGGAAATGCTGTAGGGTTGTTCAGGATTAGCTCTTATCTCAGACAATAACTTAACATCTGTTTTGTTTTTAGCATAAAGCACAAACTGAGTAGATGTTTTAAAGAACTTTGATAAGAACCAGCAGGACCCTGAATCTGAAGCACCAGCACTGGATCGCATGCTGTATGCATCTGCATTTAGTCATGTTGACTCAACATTTGTTTTTTAGCTTATCAGAAACTCTGCAGTCTACCAATCCTGAATTCAATGCGTTTCAGATTTTAATACTTTTTAAAACATATTGTTCCATTATCCCATCATGCCGTGTGGCTTTAAAGGTGCAGCAGGCATCCTTTATTGCGGAGCACTACATTTGAAAAAGACCAGTTCTATTGAGCCCAGAGGATAATCAGATACTTCTCTGCTGTCCGTTTATCTGTTTTTTCTGTCTATAACAGGTTCAGACGAAAACTAGGAAGCGATTGTTTACATAAGAGAGCAAAGAGGCAGTCGGTGCGATGTGAGCCGAGTTTAGCTAACAGCCATATGGGAGAGACCTGACCGCAGCCTGCATGCTGATGCACTATTAGACAATTATAATTACAATATGTTGGATTCATGAGGAATAAATTTGATTTCTACATTCATAATTAGAACCACAAAGAGAAGGAGCCGAGCTATTCCTGAGTTAAAGCAACACAGCAGTCAGGTTTCTGGCCTGGGAGGAAACCGGACTGCCTGCAGAGAACCCGGCATGCGCCTCCATACAGAACCCGCTACCTCCATACAGAACCCGCTACCTCCATACAGAACCCGCCACCTCCATACAGAACCCACTACCTCCATACAGAACCCACTACCTCCATACAGAACCCGCCACCTCCATACAGAACCCACTACCTCCATACAGAACCCACTACCTCCATACAGAACCCACTACCTCCATACAGAACCCGCCACCTCCATACAGAACCCGCTACCTCCATACAGAACCCACTACCTCCATACAGAACCCACTACCTCCATACAGAACCCACTACCTCCATACAGAACCCACCACCTCCATACAGAACCCGCCACCTCCATACAGAACCCACTACCTCCATACAGAACCCGCCACCTCCATACAGAACCCGCCACCTCCATGCAGAACCCACTACCTCCATGCAGAACCCACTACCTCCATACAGAACCCGCCACCTCCATACAGAACCCACTACCTCCATACAGAACCCGCCACCTCCATACAGAACCCACTACCTCCATACAGAACCCACTACCTCCATACAGAACCCACTACCTCCATACAGAACCCACTACCTCCATACAGAACCCACTACCTCCATACAGAACCCGCCACCTCCATACAGAACCCACTACCTCCATACAGAACCCACCACCTCCATACAGAACCCACTACCTCCATACAGAACCCACTACCTCCATACAGAACCCGCCACCTCCATACAGAACCCACTACCTCCATACAGAACCCGCCACCTCCATACAGAACCCACTACCTCCATACAGAACCCACTACCTCCATGCAGAACCCACTACCTCCATACAGAACCCACTACCTCCATACAGAACCCGCCACCTCCATGCAGAACCCACTACCTCCATACAGAACCCGCCACCTCCATACAGAACCCACTACCTCCATACAGAACCCACTACCTCCATGCAGAACCCACTACCTCCATGCAGAACCCACTACCTCCATACAGAACCCACTACCTCCATACAGAACCCACCACCTCCATACAGAACCCGCCACCTCCATACAGAACCCACTACCTCCATACAGAACCCACCACCTCCATACAGAACCCGCCACCTCCATACAGAACCCACCACCTCCATACAGAACCCACTACCTCCATACAGAACCCACTACCTCCATACAGAACCCACTACCTCCATACAGAACCCACTACCTCCATACAGAACCCACTACCTCCATACAGAACCCGCCACCTCCATACAGAACCCACTACCTCCATACAGAACCCACCACCTCCATACAGAACCCACTACCTCCATACAGAACCCACTACCTCCATACAGAACCCACTACCTCCATACAGAACCCACTACCTCCATGCAGAACCCACTACCTCCATACAGAACCCACTACCTCCATGCAGAACCCACTACCTCCATACAGAACCACTCTGAGCAGGGATTTGGACTCAGGGATTTGAAAGCAGTGCTACCAACTGTGTAGCTGCAGTTTGAATAAAATTGTGATTCTGATGTACGCTGAAAGGACTCGGGTCAGCAGGAATCTCCATGGAAACAAACGACGGAACCAGAACCGGGTTGGGTTGCATCTGGACGGGCCGGGTTCAAACAGACTCAACATGACTGCAGCCTCCTGACTTCTGTTAAAGGAGCCACTGATTCACTTTTGCACATCGTCACATTCATAAATGAAAAAGTTTATTGTTATGGTAATAGCGTCTTCCTGTTGTGTCTTTTTGTGTGCTGCTGTTCAAAACTGAATACATGCTGATTATTTTTCTACTGAATGATTTAACTTTGAGTCAGTAACTACATCATTCGATGTGTTCAGTTTTAAACGAGTCCACTTTGTAAATCTTGGATTTCTGAAATTGAAAACTGAATTTGGGGGAAAAATGAGATGCATTTCATCAAACTGTCATTATTTGTTAGACTTGAAGTGTTTTTTTAAACTCATTTTAATTTTATTTAGTTTAAAGTTGAGTTTACAGAAAGGTAATTTAACTGAAAAGTAATAAAGTTGTGTCATGTTTGTTTGGCAAAGCCAAGCTGCAGACAGATTCCTGGAAGTTGCATTTGTGGAAGTTTTAATAAAACGTAAATTCATTAAAATGGACAAAGAGCTTGGATATAAAATCAGGCAATGAAAGAAAAAGCAGCACTGAACAACAAAATCTCAGGAATCCAGAAATGCTCATTTGGGCCACAATACACAAAGTAAAAGGAAAATAAATCTATTTCAAAAGTCAGATTTGCTCTGTCTCAGGTGGCTCAAACACAGAAAGGCAAATTAAGGCCAGAATCTAAGTAATTAATAAAAAATGATGCAAACCAGAAACACAGGAAAGTAAAAGTCCAAACATCTATAGATCATCACACTAAGACTCAAATTAATGATTCTTTTTAGATATTTGTGTCTGAGCTCTGAACATAGAGACTAAGAATCAATAATCCTGCTTATTGTTCCCTTATTATTGCTTAAAGAAATTTGCTAAATAATTGATTCAGAACCAAAAAAGGTTGTGTCACTGGATAATTTATGGGCTAATGGTAAAACACAATTATTCCTAATGTGTAGGAAAGAGAAAAACCATCCCAGTCATCCCTCAGCATGTCGAAAGATTCCATCAGGTTTGTTCCTGGTTGGGGTTTAATCCGAGTCCAGAGGAGCTCAGCTGTGCTGGAGAATCACTCAGCAGCAGCAGAAGAAAAACTGGGGAGGGACGTCCTGCAGAGTGGGTGGGAACCAAGCAAGTCATCTCATATTTAAAGACAGTTCAAGCAGCGCACCTACTTCTGCACTCACACACACACACAGAGGACAGACCCAGTGAAGACTGAGGGGACTTGCTGTTGGTTGCTTTCCTTTGGACAATGGCTCTTTTACCCACCAGGTATGCACAAGCTTTACTGAGTATTCCTAACTAAACATCTAAGGTTCAGTAACTGCCACCTACAACTTAACAATATTTACCGTTCTGCAGAGCAATGAGCATTGTGACTGCATGCAGAGCGCCGTCGATAGTGCCTTTAAAGCTGAACAGCAGGTTTTTCTTTCTATCAACTTACAAACTGAGTTTGTCTCAACATGTTTTATTCAGCTTCAAGAAACATTTGAAGTGCAACTAAGTTTGGAAATGTTCAAAGAGAACATGAGGAATAAGCTGAGCTGAAAGTATAAAGTGCAAAGTCGAAATAGACTTTGCACTTTACTAAATTAAAATAGTTTAGTATCAGTTTATGTTATTGTGATTATGTGTTTTGTGGTTTTGCTTCATTTTTCTGTCTCTGTCTGCTGCCAGGGTTGGTCAGGTCCCTCTTGTAAAAGAGATATCATAATTATTAGTATTATTATAATTCTATTAATAGCCTCTGCAGATACTTTTCAGGGCTCACTTAAACTGTTCAGGCCAGCTGGCAATAATTTAAAATCAGTTATTTAGTTTGAAATATCCTCATATATAATGTTTAACTCAGCTTGGAGTGTTGAGGCGTCAAACGGTTCAAATCGCGCCTCCACATAGACTAATGTAAACCAGATGTGCCTGATGCTCAAAACGTGTTTGATGCACATTTAAGTTTTTAAGTTTTACTTTGTATCATTTCTCTGCAGCCTCCCTGCTAATTTCACCACCCTGGCTGAAGATGGAAACCAGTCAAATTCTAATAATTGCTCACTTCAATCCAACAACTTATCAATATCAAGCATCACAGCGTACATCCTGTCCATCTCTGTTCTGGGAATTGTTTTGAACATCTTTGTGCTGACGGTCTTCGTCCTCCATAAGAAGCCCTGCACCGTGGCTGAGATCTACCTGAGCAACCTGGCTGCTGCCGACCTGTTCCTGGTCTCCTTCCTGCCCTTCTGGGCCGCCAACGTTTATCATAAGTTTGACTGGATTTTTGGTCTTGCCATGTGCAAAATGGTCAATGTGAGCATCCTGATGAACGTCTACTGCAGCATCTACTTCGTGGTTCTGATTAGCATCGATCGCTATTTGGCCTTGGTTCATCCACTGTCCCTTGAAAAAATGCGTCGCCCAAAATTTGCCAAAATTTGTTGTGCTGTGGTTTGGATTCTGGGATTAAGTCTTAGTATTCCCAAATTTATCAACAGGAAATTGGTATCTCACAGAAACATTACTTCCTGTAGTGAACCTGATGAAACTTTATTCCAGGCGACTGAGTGGATGATTTTGGTGTTGGGGTTTTTCATTCCCATTTCTATTATTTTCTTTTGCACTGCCAAAATCCTCAAAGCTCTGAGGAACAGATCTATCCAAGACGTAAATGCAAAGAAAATAGATCACAAAGCCAACGCTTTGGTCCTGGCTGTCCTGCTGGCGTTCCTGATCTGCTGGGTCCCGTTCCATCTGCGGTCCATGCCAACCTGGCTCTATAAGGCCGGGCTCCTGGCAGAGTGCAGCTCTCAGATCATCCAGCACTTCTGTGGGCAGTTCTTCACCTATCTGGCGTTCTTCAACAGCGTTGCCAACCCCATTCTCTACGTCATTGTTGGAAAAAACTTCCGGAAAAAAGTCAAGGAAGTTTTTCTGCAGAGAAACTATAAATGGAGTCCAACCATGACTTTCAGAAGTTCAAGAACAAAACTATCATTTATGCATCCCTCTTAGTTCTGACTTAATGTGCATTCAGCTCACTTCCTCTACCAGACGTTTTTAATTCAGGTATGTATTTAAGCTATTTCAATGTTTTATCATAAACATTTGGTGGGTCATTCAGAATTTTTGTTGGTTTCATCATTGTGAATTACTGAGTAATTCAAGTATTGCAGCCAAACCTTTAGTCAGAAGTGTAATCTGAAAACTAAATATGAAACAAAACGATTTGCCCTAAAACAGATGTAACACCTCACAGAGAGCGATCCAATCCCACGTCTCTCCAGGTGGGATTGGAGAGAAGATGTTTATCCAGCCAGTTTGACTTCATGCTTCCAAAAGCTTTTTATAACTTCTTAAGAAAAAAAGATTCTAACAAATATTAAAGCATGTAGCTGCAGTTTGACCATCTTAAATAATCACTGCAGGCCACACCGTTCTCCTAAATTAGAGCTCAAACTTGATGCAATCTGCTTAGATAGAAAACTTTTAACCCAGTTTGAATAAACAGATTAATGCGCTTTTTGACAGATGAATGTAGATCAACTGGAATGGATGTAACTAAACTGACTTTTCTTGAAAAGTGCCTCATTATTGCTTTTTTATAAATTGTGCAATGTAAATAAACTGACAGGAACTGAATAAAAAACCACAACAGGCAATCAAAAACATGAGTTAATAATAAAAATCAAAAAGGAGAAATACCTTGAGATGTATAAAAGTGAGGAAGGAGCAGCAGATCAGACAAATGACAACTTTAGAGCTTCACTTTAAGTCTGAGGGAACAGAGATGAAACGTTTTAACGTCTCACTGTTTCCATGAGCAGAACTTTGGCAAAGACAGGAGGAGAAAATGCAAAACTAAACCATGAGGAAACCGCACACGTTTTCTCTCAGCTGCGTTCAGGTTCCTGCTGGAACTCAGAATGAAGCTGTTTGTGTTTAGATTAGAAAGTTTTGAAAGGTTTCATCACATGATGTCCAAAAGGTCAAATAATACAGAGATAATTTTCTGAAGTTTTGTTTGATATTCAGCAACAAGGCAACATGTTCAGGATCCCTGCAGGGACAAGCACATCTGGACGTCAGAGACGTTGTAAACTTCATATTTATGTCTCAGGAGAACAGAGAAATCTTGTTCCTGTTTACAATTTATTTTTTTACTGAAGCTTGTTTTCCTTCTCATAAACTCCAAAGGCTGCTCAATAGTCGACAAAACTGTAAGGGATCCCAACAGATCCTAACAGATCCCCAGGTGAAAGATTCCATATTTATTTTCTAAATAAAAATAACAGCAGAAACCTACATGGTTGTAATATTTTATTTTTGACTCTATTAGTCTGGAGAGAAGAGCTCAGCTGAACGGTGTCATTCATAGATTGGACATCGCGTTTATTGCTCCAGTCGCAGAAGTGATGCAGACATCAGAGCTGCCTGATAATTAAGCAGCGTCACCAGACAGGTCTCATAATTATAGAAGTAATGGCCTGAAGTGAAGCTAATGGAAGCAATCAGTCAAAGCGATGGAAGCAGGATTTCTGTGTTTAAAAGCTTCTACTGGTTGCTATTCCATGTGTGTTTATTTTATGAACTGTTTTGTATCTGGATGTTTGTTGTGACATTAACTCGTATTACTGAATCCATCCAGATTCAGTAGAAATACTCTGTGGGATATCGCTTCACGTCTCACTGCAAGACATGTTGTTCTGTCATGCAGATAAAAGTGAGCGGCTTCCTGCAGCCATGAACTCACAGGATGGGCATGTTGCTCTGCAGAATCGGTTTGTTCTCTTAACTTTGAATTCTTTCGATTCCCTGGCATGACTCTGAATCACTTCCTCTGAACCTGAGAACGCTTTGGTGGAACAACATCTCAGTAACAAAATGGTTGGCATTACAACTGTTCTTGTATTTACTGTGAAGTTTTAAATGTGTCTCTTTGCTGAATGAAGAATGTAAAATGATCTTGTTTTGACTTTCATCCACTGGTTAATCCGTCTGTAAACAGTTTTCTCTGGTGAAATACCATCAACAGGATGATGGAAGGAGGCTCTGCCTCTTTTTAAAGTGTCAATATTTCTGTTTTTCCATCTAAAGTGAATTTTTCATACTTCATGTGTTTGATGTATAACAAGTTGTAAGTCATGAAAGTGTCTCTTAATACAGATTTTTCTTGTATTTATTCGGTTTGTGAATATTGAGAGGTTAAAGGTGAAGCCGAGTTATATAAGCTGATAAAGCTGAGAGAACGTTTGGGTAAATAACAGGTATGCAATCATAAAGGAGACTAATAACTATATAGATTATTATCAGACAATTATACCTGATTTACAACATGTTTCATAATGTAAGTGTATGAAAAGAGTTTTATGGAGGTTAGAAATAAAAATACTGGAAAACTGACCAATTTAAGTAAACAGGCAGAAAAACAACAAAAAGAGTCAAAGAATTAAAAGAGAAATTTATTATAAGGAACAAATAGGTGTGGAGAGTCATTTTCAATAAATTACAATATGGATTCATGAAGTTCCTCTGATAAATATTTTAAAAGTAGCATTTTTTCTGTTGGTTTGGTGTAATATTTTAATTTGAAATGTTTTTATTAATTGTAAGTGGGACAGCAGGAAGGCTGCAAGTTTTATGTCTCAGGCTTTCAACAGAAGACCTGAAGGTTCTGGACGGCCCGATCAGCCACAGCTGGGCCTTTCGGGTCACTGCCATGTAGCTTCAGTTCCTTCAGCAGGCCAGAAAGCAGAGCGTTTATTCTACTAGCTACGGCAGTTAAAGGATGAAGGAATCAAAGTCGTTTCCCTTCAGATGAGGCAGAACAACAGCAGGCGCAAAGGCAGCGAGAAAAATATCCGTCTGCAGATGCTGGTGCTTCATCAAGCAGCAGATAGAAGGAGCCGTCTGATGGTCGTTCCCTGCCTGATTCTCAACCTCTGAGGTCTTCTCATGTTTGAATGTTTCCCAGCATTACTTATCCTGTGGTCTCTGTGGCTCCAGGTTAAACCTGTTCTTGGTTCCAACATGTAGGATCCTCTCAGCACAGGATCCTGTCAGCACAGGATCCTGTCAGCACAGGATCCTCTCAGCACAGGATCCTCTCAGCACAGGATCCTCTCAGCACAGGATCCTCTCAGCACAGGATCCTCTCAGCACAGGATCCTGTCAGCACAGGATCCTGTCAGCACAGGATCCTCTCAGCACAGGATCCTGTCAGCACAGGATCCTGTCAGCACAGGATCCTGTCAGCACAGGATCCTGTCAGCACAGGATCCTCTCAGCACAGGATCCTCTCAGCACAGGATCCTGTCAGCACAGGATCCTCTCAGCACAGGATCCTCTCAGCACAGGATCCTCTCAGCACAGGATCCTGTCAGCACAGGATCCTCTCAGCACAGGATCCTCTCAGCACAGGATCCTCTCAGCACAGGATCCTCTCAGCACAGGATCCTCTCAGCACAGGATCCTCTCTGCTGCCTCCTGCTCCTCATCTTTACAATCTGGACCTCACCGATATGGTGCTCGTCTTCCTGACTGCATTTCTGTCATGTGCGTCTGTAATATGCTGTCAGCAGAACTGAGTCATTTCAGCTGCCAGTCAGACCTGACTGGTGACTGGTTACTGGTGACCAGTTCAGCGATGGCTGGCTGCTGACCTTTTTCTTTCTAAAATCTGCCTGTTAACATGTAAACATTTCATCCGTCAGCCAGCGATGTTCAATCTGTTCTTCCAAGTTTTCTTTACAGCCTCATTTAAATAAGAGCAGATGGGAACCAGAAACAAACGAGTCTCAACATGTTCGTCTGTTTGTTCCTGTATTTCAGATTCCATTACTTGTAATGTTCAAACTCTGTCACAGCAAACAGGAAGATCAGTTACACGAGAGCGTCTTTATCTTGTCAAGGATAAGAAATCAAAAGAACATTTTGGTTTGTGTTCCTCTTAAATTCACCTTAAGTAGAGCAGTAAAACTTACATGAGCCTTTGCAAAAAGACATTTAGAAGTTGTAATGAAACCTCAACAGACTCCGTTTGCTTTACTGCAAGATTCAAGAGGCACAAATTAATTTACTTCTTTTTGTATATATTTCTCTTCATCACTATAAATTGTTAAATCAGGAGTTATTGTTTTCGATCGGCTTTCACTTTATATTTAAGTTTCTGTTTCCTGAGGTTTAACGTGATTTAGTTTAACTAGGGTGGCTCCTATTTCATTTCCCTTTGGGATTAATAACAGACTTTTTAACTGCATTAAAAGGTTAACTAAGAATAAAGTGGGACCAACAAGATGAGACATTAAAGTCCCTTTGCTAGAAATAAAAAGCACACCTGGTTCCTGATGGCCTGGTTCCTGATGGCCTGGTTCCTGATGGCCTGGTTCCTGATCGCCTGGTTCTTGATGGCCTGGTTCCTGATCGCCTGGTTCCTGATCGCCTGGTTCCTGATGGCCTGGTTCCTGATCGCCTGGTTCCTGATGGCCTGGTTCCTGATGGCCTGGTTCCTGATCACCTGGTTCCTGGTCGCCTGGTTCCTGATCGCCTGGTTCCTGATGGCCTGGTTCCTGATGGCCTGGTTCCTGATCGCCTGGTTCCTGATCACCTGGTTCCTGATGGCCTGGTTCCTGATCACCTGGTTCCTGATGGCCTGGTTCCTGATCGCCTGGTTCCTGATCGCCTGGTTCCTGATCGCCTGGTTCCTGATGGCCTGGTTCCTGATGGCCTGGTTCCTGATGGCCTGGTTCCTGATCACCTGGTTCCTGGTCGCCTGGTTCCTGATCACCTGGTTCTTGATCGCCTGGTTCCTGATCACCTGGTTCTTGATCGCCTGGTTCCTGATCACCTGGTTCCTGATGGCCTGGTTCCTGATGGCCTGGTTCCTGGTCGCCTGTTTCCTGGTCGCCTGGTTCCTGATCACCTGGTTCCTGGTCGCCTGTTTCCTGGTCGCCTGGTTCCTGATCGCCTGGTTCCTGATGGCCTGGTTCCTGGTCGCCTGGTTTCTGGTCGCCTGGTTCCTGATGGCCTGGTTCCTGATCACCTGGTTCCTGATCGCCTGGTTCCTGATGGCCTGGTTCCTGATGGCCTGGTTCCTGGTCGCCTGGTTCCTGGTCGCCTGGTTCCTGATCACCTGGTTCCTGATCGCCTGGTTCCTGATGGCCTGGTACCTGATGGCCTGGTTCCTGATGGCCTGGTTCCTGATGGCCTGGTTCCTGGTCGCCTGTTTCCTGGTCGCCTGGTTCCTGATGGCCTGGTTCCTGATGGCCTGGTTCCTGATCACCTGGTTCCTGACCGCCTGGTTCCTGATGGCCTGGTTCCTGATCACCTGGTTCCTGATGGCCTGGTTCCTGATGGCCTGGTTCCTGATCACCTGGTTCCTGATCGCCTGGTTCCTGATCGCCTGGTTCCTGATCGCCTGGTTCCTGATGGCCTGGTTCCTGATCACCTGGTTCCTGATCGCCTGGTTCCTGATCGCCTGGTTCCTGATCGCCTGGTTCCTGATCGCCTGGTTCCTGATCGCCTGGTTCCTGGTCGCCTGGTTCCTGATCGCCTGGTTCCTGATCACCTGGTTCCTGATGGCCTGGTTCCTGATGGCCTGGTTCCTGATGGCCTGGTTCCTGATGGCCTGGTTCCTGGTCGCCTGGTTCCTGGTCGCCTGGTTCCTGATCACCTGGTTCCTGATCGCCTGGTTCCTGATGGCCTGGTACCTGATGGCCTGGTTTCTGGTCGCCTGGTTCCTGATCGCCTGGTTCCTGATGGCCTGGTTCCTGATGGCCTGGTTCCTGATGGCCTGGTTCCTGATGGCCTGGTTCCTGATGGCCTGGTTCCTGGTCGCCTGGTTCCTGGTCGCCTGGTTCCTGATGGCCTGGTTCCTGATGGCCTGGTTTCTGATCGCCTGGTTCCTGATCGCCTGGTTCCTGATGGCCTGGTTTCTGATCGCCTGGTTCCTGATCGCCTGGTTCCTGGTGGCCTGGTTCCTGATCACCTGGTTCCTGATCGCCTGGTTCCTGATCGCCTGGTTCCTGATCGCCTGGTTCCTGATCACCTGGTTCCTGATGGCCTGGTTTCTGGTCGCCTGGTTCCTGGTTCAGTCCAGGTGTTGTGAAAGGATTGTGAACTGGAGCTTTATAGAAGAAAACTCTGCAGATCAGAGAGGATCACTGGGCCAGAGTGACTCTGTTCAGGTCAGTTCTCACTGATATCACAAAGTATTTAATCATCTGGAACATTTAAGAGCAACAATCACAAAAACGACCTTAAAAAGGCCCAGAACCGTTTATCCTGTCAGTCACAGATTTACAATATTGCAAAAGATCAGCTTAGCAGAAGATATTTACAAGAGGATCAAATGTTTCACAGCATTCAGAGGATGGATTTAAAAACATAAAACATTTCTGTTGATATGACCTCATATTTCCCTCAGGCGCATTTAGAAATGCTGTCCAGAAAAAGTCTGCCACTTTGACAGAACGTCACTGAAACATGAATAATTTAAATGCATCATGAGCATCTAAATGTTCATGATGTCATCAACTCACCATGAGCTTCGCTAATTCTTTCATTATCCACAAACACGCTATAATCTACACAGATCATAACCTTAACATATAAGAAACACGTATGTTGTTTTTAGCTAACATTATTTAATCCCCTGCATGTTGTTTTTTTTTACTTAAATTGTAAACCTATAAAATTGAGTTTCATTTCTACGTCGCCCTCCTCTCACGCCGGACCAGTGGTGGTTGTTTCATCAATACATTTTGGAGCATTGTAAATTCATATCCCTTGGTTTTAAAACGAATGTTTCCATTTAGCTGCTGGTAAACCTGAATGTTCTCCTCCATTGAGTTTTAAAATGAGATTTTCTACTTTTAATAAAGTCAAAAACAAGAAAGGAAAAATAAAACGTATCCGAGTTTTTCTGCTTACCTGGAAGGTAAAATATGTCACTGCTTAATTACATTTTTAATTTGCAAATTGTTGCTCAGCAGAAGTTGAATGAATGAACATTTACAGGATTACTTCCTTTATTATCTCAGCCGAAATACAACAAACTGATGTAAAAATTTTATTTTTATTTTATCAGCTAACAGATTAGACTGATATATGAGGCGTGGCTCATGCTGTGTGAGAATTTGTAGTGATCTTAGTTTTTATTAAACAGCTCCTTCATGTCGGCTGTCAATAACTTTAAGTGTGTAACTGAGTTCAGCCTGATATCGTTTGCTTCCCTTCACTTTTTATCAGACGTTTCCTGATGTTCTGATGGAACAGAGTGAAAACAGAAATGAAGGCAGTCGGTGCTAAAGGAAAACACAGAATATAAAATAAAGGTGTGATTATTTTTATCCAGTGTGGTTCTGTTATCTTGGTCAAACGTTGAACTTTATGTGACTCAGATTACAGGAACATCTTTGTTAAGCTGCACACAGAAAAGCTTTCAGAAGAACAACATCCAACTGCTGCATAATGAAACAACTTTACCACACAGTCATTCTCAGCTATGTGCTAATGGATTCACCCGATAATGGAAGCAGATGTGGAGCAGCACTTCACTGGCTGGATGTTTAATATCTGCAGTCTCAGTCCCAGCTGGGTCTCTGATTGCTACAGGACAGGACTCTAAATTATTCATACTCCTGGCGGGTCTGGGCTGAACGTGATCTATTGATATGACCGGCACACACCGTCTTATGTCTTCCTGGTCCGACTCACCGATTGGCTGATTGGCTGTGGTCCTGCTGGTCACTTCCTTATTTGAGGAGCAGAGTCGACACCATTGTGATAAACCATCTGTGGAGGGAGATAAAGATTAGGGTGATGGGAAAGAGGCCTTCCAAACTCACAGACTTGAAACGAAGAAACATAAAAAAAATACATTTTATAACGGCTGAGTACAAACAACCAACACAGCCACTTGATTGGAAAATACATAATGCCACCCCTTTAATAACTGCACTGTTACTCCTATAAACTTACTGTAAAATCTCATTCTTCTATTTTCTGTTTACCTGTAAATAGCTGCTGATGGATCTGAATTTCCCTCAGTGAGACAATCAGTTTCTGTTCTAACATTTTGCTCCTAAACTTTTCCTGCCTCCATCCTCACATCACACAAATACATTCCTACCCCTGGCAGTTCTTACTTTCTGCTAACTTTAACCCAAGATTTACAGAGAGCATGTGAATCACCGAGTTAAAGTCACGCAACACTCCTGTTTTATATACAGCTGTCTGTAGTTTCCACTCTTTGTATATGCAAATAATTAGTCACTCTCATGTTTCTTTCTCATCTTCTTCCTAGTTTGAGTTTATCACAATTCCTAAGAATCCAGAAAGCTTTTCCCATTACTTCTTCACATGGCGCCTTCAGTTTCAAAACATTAGGATTAAAAATGGGAAACAGCACAAATATGGATGTTTCCTCAAATCTTCATCTTGGAAGTACAAGAAAAGAAAAGCAATATGTCCCATTCACTGCTGACTACAAAAAGTTTCTGGGTGAAGGTCTGTGACCTTTTTGAACCTTTTAGGAGGAGACCGGTCCGATCTGATAGCAGATCACTGGCACGCATCAAAACACTGCTGGCAGCTTGGAGTCATGCAAACAGATTCCTGGAAAGCTCAGAGCAGTTTCTACATCATGCTGATATTAGTTTTAATTTGGGAGAAAAACATTGCAGAGGCTTTCAATGAGACATAGTGATGCAAAACTTCCTTTTTGTTCCAAGATGACCTAGAATAATGCTGACCCATTTAGGACCTAAAATTTGTTTCCTTTTCGGTTCTGTTGCCTGTTGAAGCTATTTTAAACCCGAACTTGTTTGTCAGGTCGTCTTATTTGCATTGCTGAGCAGATCTGAGCGTTTTCAGGACACGGTTCCATTCGGGATCGGACTCTGTGGTGTCAGGATGAACTCCTCGCTCATCCAGGTCTCCTGCAGCTCCAACTCCTCAGTGGAGCAGCACATGTACCCCACTGTCTACTCTTTATTCTTTATCGTGGGGTTTCCATCCAACTGCCTGTCTCTGTTCGTAGCCTGGAAGCTGGCGCTGCAGGGGAACAACATGGCGGTCTACCTGGTCAGCCTGAGTGTTTCGGACCTGCTCTACACGGTCACTCTGCCTGTTTGGATCGGGATGGCGCAGCGCTGGAACGTCTCTGATCAACTGTGCGGCGTGATGTATCTGATCATGTACAACAGCTTCTACGTGGGCTCGGGTCTGCTCTGCTGCATCTCTGTGGACCGCTACCTGGCCGTGGTCTACCCGCTCCACTTCCACTGGGTCAGAGAGGTCAGGGCCGCAGCTCTGCTGAGCACTGCCGTCTGGCTCCTGGAGATTTCTCTTCACGTTCTCTTGCTTCACCACATGGGGGCGCTGCAGTCATTCAACTTGTGCCACCAACCGATGCCACTGACGCAGAAGGATGCCGACGTTGCCCTGGTTCGGGTGGTGCTCGGCTTCCTGCTTCCTCTGGTCATCATGACGCTGTGCTTCCAGCAGATCATGCAGTCGCTCAGACGGAGCCGCTCCGTCCTGCAGGAAGAGCGGCGGAGAGTGGGGCTGCTGCTGCTGCTGCTGCTGCTCACATACATCGCCTCCTTCGTGCCCTACCAGACGGTCATGATCCTGCGGGTCGTCCTGGAGCCGGGGGCCTGCGACTGGGCCCGCGGCCTCCGGGACCCGTACCTGGTCACGGTGGCCATGACCACCCTGAACAGCACTCTGGATCCCATCTTCTACTGTTTGATTAACGAGAGCGCCAAGAGAGAGATTGGGAGAGCGATGAACAGAGGGAGGAGACGTTTCATCAAGACACGGATCCAAGCCGTTTCCTGAATTCCTCTTCGTCAACCTGCATCCGTATTTAGTTTTGTATCAAATGATTGTGCACAAAACGATTTAATTTAGAAAATATAAGCAATACTTGGACTGAAGTCAACTGAAGGGCGTGATTACTTTCTGTAAAGAAGGAAGTCATTAATGTTTGTGTTTAATCTTTTCAGTGCTTTCCTTTAAAAGCCTCTAAAATCATGTCTGTATTATTATTCTTTATTAATCTGCCAAATAAATGGGAAGTGAATTTTTCATTTTTTATAGTTTGATCTTGGAAAATACTTAACAGCTCAGATTCTTTGAGGCAGAACTGAAAAATTATTTACAGTTCTATTTATTTTCATCTGCACCAGCCTTTATTGCAATCTATAAACCTTCCATGAAGGAATAAATTAGTTATTGGACTTTTGTTTAATTAATACAGACCTTTCTTTATGAGCCCTGTTAATAAAGTAGTATGAATTGGTTTCAGCAGCAGGTCCTTCAGTCACAACTGGATAAAACAATAAACTCTGAGATTTTCCTGCAGGTTCCTATTGAAAGCTGGATGGGTAGAAAACACTTTGCACCAATCGAATGCCTGAATATTCTGAATAACAGATTGAAAACAATACATTTATTTATTGTAGAGCTCATATGTCTGTTCATTCAGTAATATAGGCACAAGTCTTTTTTTAATTGAAGATGTTGCTCATGCAGTTAATTGTGGTTATTTTATTGCACATCCTGCTATTAACTCAATGAACATTCATTGTAAGAAACTCTGACTTATAAAGATGAACATCCTCCTGAAATGTCACAAAATAGTCAGAAACTGGAAATCATCCAAACTGTTTCAACATGTTCAGGTTAAAGTTCACCAACTTAGCACCAACTTGTGTTTTCTTTAGTCCAGGTCAGAGTTCAGAGAAAACTCTGAGCTTTGATCTGGAACAGAAAATTCTCTCAGATTGGGACATTTTTCTGACTCCCCTGCATGGCTCCATGACACTAGCAGAGTTAGCTTCCAGGTTTTTATGCTGAGTAAAGAATTAGACTGTTATCTTGACGATGATCACAAAACACATGCAAGCATCAGCATCTCTCTGTTGTATGGTAACCAAAACACAGACTTTGCATCTCCTAATCCCAACAATGATGGATGGACAGATACACTTCACAGAAAAAGAGTAACAGATCTGTGCTTGGGTATTACATGCATTAGGAAAATAGGTTGTTAATCAGATTCCACCCATTATGTACAATACATAATGGGTGGAATGATTTCCTATGGAAATAATGGATTTAAATGGAAGCAGTGATCTCATTAAAATACAAACAAGAACCAAGTCGACTTTGTTTTTCTGTCATCACATCCAGTTAACTCTTTATAATGGCTGATTGGTTTACTCTTTGTTATGAAGTCATTTCAGGAAATGAGATGTGTTTAAATCAGACAAACTGTTTGACTGACTGAACTTTTGTAAACATGCATTATCAGGATTTTCCCAAGAGGCTAAAACATGCATTATGACATAATTTCTTCACTTTCACTCAATAAAAACAAACTCGAATTGTGCAAATATTATTAATGTTCTGGGGAGTTTTGTGTTCGGCACATTCCACACACTCTCCAGAGTCAGCCGGTGAAAATTGACTCAGGCTGAAGCCACTGTCCAATTCCTTTGTCAACACACATTGTTTAGCTGTCAAATGTCTGCATGTGAACCTGGTACACTGTTGAGCTTTTAACTTGCCTTCACTTATCTTTTCACACAAAATATCTGAGCACAGAAATGATTAAATTTAGTTTTTTTATATTTCTGTAAAACTTCCTGGTCACTGACATCGCCTTTGGACAGTCTGTGGTGTCAGACTCTCAGTTTCTGTGAGAAAATGTGTCCTGTTTGCTTTATGATCCCTCTCAATTCTCTTCCTGGTAGACAGGATAAATTGATCATCTCAGTTGGTTGCAAAGGAGTATATGTTTTCACGATTATAACCCCACACTCTTAATTAATCGGTTTAACCCACAGATTCCTTTCCTGACAGAAAAAACACCATGTAAAGTGACATAAACAGTTTCTCCAATTGTATAACATGCCAAGAAGTATTGTTACAAGAAATAAACACAGCAGCCCACATTCAATGCACTGGCAGAAAAAAGGCAGTCATTATCCAGTAGGAGGAGAGGGGTGGGAAAGAAGCAAACGTTAACTTCAGATATCTGTTCAGCATCAGATGCTTCCTTCAACAAGCAAGTCCTTGTCAAACAGTAGTGAGAAACATCGGCGCTGCAGGAGGGTTGCTGCTTTTTCCATTGGGAGAAATTGGTCTGTCCACCTGAAGGTATGCAACAAATTTATACTTTGCTTTTTTTTGCTTTTATTCATGAATGTTAAACATTCTGCAACATTTACGGGTAATTAGAAAATTAACAGATATACAACAATCTCTTAAATTGTTTGGACTTCTTCGGCATGTCAGCCTGTACCGACTAAAGCATTTATGTCGGTATACAGTCGACTGTTGCAGTGCAGTACTAAAGGCTTGAACCACAGACTGACGTATCTTGGGTTGTTTTGGGTTTTTCTGGTTTTGTTCATTTGTTTTTTTTTTTGTTTGCCTGAGTTATTCTTATTTTTGATTAGATCAGCCTTGCTTCAGTTTTACTTTAGTTCAGTCAGCTCTTTGTTAGTTAGATTTGGTTTATTTCCTGAGTTTGATGACTTTTTGTCCAAGTTAGATTCGTTTCCCCGGCTCCTTGTTGGGGTTTACTCGCCCTGTGCATGTCTCCCCCTCAGCCTGCTTTCTGCTCACACCTGAACCTCGTTTTCTAATGAGTCCCGGTTCTCGGATCCTCCCGTTGTACTCCATGGTTTTTCCTGCTCTTGATCATTGTGATGTCATTGTTTTGATGTTTTTTATTTAACTGCTACCAACTACTCACAGCTTCAAGCTGTCTGCATTTGGATCCAATCAACACTAAACATGATTGAAGGATTAATCAGACTTGCTTCTTGCTGCAGAATTAGAGCAAATAAGGAAGCCAGTCATTCAGTACGAACTCTGGCCAAGCCTTGTTCATCATTGATGACGGAGTCGGTTAATATGCTGCAGAAATGAATTCCTCAGCTGTTTAATGTTTTCTTTTGTTCCTTTTGCTTGCATCTTTCTTCAGAATGGTGGCTAACATCAGTTCTATGGTTGAAGATGGAAACCAGTCAAATTCTAATAATTGCTCACTTGAATTCAACAACTTGGGCGTCACAGCGTACATCCTGTCCATCTCTGTTCTGGGAATTGTTTTGAACATCTTTGTGCTGACGGTCTTCGTCCTCCATAAGAAGCCCTGCACCGTGGCTGAGATCTACCTGAGCAACCTGGCTGCTGCCGACCTGTTCCTGGTCTCCTTCCTGCCCTTCTGGGCCGCCAACGTTTATCATAAGTTTGACTGGATTTTTGGTCTTGCCATGTGCAAAATGGTCAATGTGAGCATCCTGATGAACGTCTACTGCAGCATCTACTTCGTGGTTCTGATTAGCATCGATCGCTATTTGGCCTTGGTTCATCCACTGTCCCTTGAAAAAATGCGTCGCCCAAAATTTGCCAAAATTTGTTGTGTTGTGGTTTGGATTCTGGGATTAAGTCTTAGTATTCCCAAATTTATCAACAGGAAATTGGCACCTGACAAAAACATTACTTCCTGTAGTGAACTTGATGAAACTTTACTCCAGGCGACTGAGTGGATGATTTTGGTGTTGGGGTTTTTCATTCCCATTTCCATCATTTTCTTTTGCACTGCCAAAATCCTCAAAGCTCTGAGGAACAGATCTATCCAAGGAGTAAAGATGAGGAAAAAGGATCAAAAAGCCAACGCTTTGGTCCTGGCTGTCCTGCTGGCGTTCCTGATCTGCTGGGTCCCGTACCATCTGCGGTCCATCCCAACCTGGCTCTACAAGGCCAGGATCCTGGCAAAGTGCAGCTCTGAGATCATCCAGCACTTCTGTGGGCAGTTCTTCACCTATCTGGCGTTCTTCAACAGCGTTGCCAACCCCATTCTCTACGTCATTGTCGGAAGAAACTTCAGAGACAAACTGAAGGAACTCATCAACCAGTGGGACCAAAAACGCAGTGCAACCATCAGGCTGACAACTGCAAGCACAAGGATTCTGCGAAGTGTTAAATCCTAACAGATTATTAACTATGATATGAGTTTGCTTTTTTTATTTTGAGAAAACTAAAAATTAAACTTGTTAGCTGGAGGAATGATCACCAATTGTAATTTGTGTAGAAGGTAACATCAAATCAAGACATGTCACTCAGTGACCCTCAGATTGATCCTTCATTGCCTTCAGGTTTTGGAGTGGTCTTTATGATCTGATGTACAGACAGTGATACCATGAGGCCAACACTTCTGCAGAGAAATTAAAGAAAGAAAAATACTGTCTTGTTTCTGTAAAAGTTTTAACTTTTACAAGCCAAGGTATGCTTACTGATATTTTTGTGCAACAAAAAAATGTAAGGAGGATGTTATGAATGTGTCAGTATTAGAGTCCAGATATGACTAAAGTTATGATTATTTGCCAGTTCAGTTCTTTGTTTTTCTTTATTCTGGTTATTTGTTAACACGTCTTGCATGAAGTGAAAATCATTTATTCTACTACACCCACTGTTATTTTAAGTGCTTTCAGAATAATTCAATAACAACTCTGCTACATAATTAAACAGCTTTACCGCATGTTGTATATCACTGAAATAATGAAATAATGGACTGAATCAGGATAATGGAAGCAGACATTGGAGTGCATTGTGCAGGCTCTACTTATCCTGCTTTGTTACAGAGATTCTTGTCGTCTAACTTCAGAAATATAAAGTTGTAATCCAAGACTTATTAACCTTACCTCCATGCAATGTGCCAACATTAGTACAGTTAGCTCAGGAGACCCAGTATTTATTCTACTGATGTATTTAAATGTCTTCCAAACTGTTTTTCTGTCTTAACTTTCTGCACTTTGACTGAGTCACAGCGCTGGAGAGCATCGCCTTGACAAGGATGGGTGCAAACAGCTAATTCTCACATTTAGCTCGACCATCGACGAGTGTTCTGTTTCACGGTTTTATTATGGGTCTGGAGTATGTTCAGTGCAGCAGAGCCTCACTCCTGCAGCTTTTAGACACATCCCTGCTCCAACAGGCCTGGTGGCGACCAGACCAGACAGGAAGGACGGATGAAGGAGTTCAGCCTTTTGATTCAGGTGTGTTGGATCAGAGGTGCATCTAGAAGTTTCAGGATAGAAGCATCTTATCTTATGATTTTGTTAAACTGATGTTCATGTCATGGAATATTTTTATTGTAATGCTTAATCCAAATGAAGTTGTGTGAGCTCCACGGCCGACATCGGCTAACCTGGAGGTCCAGACAGAAACACATCAGTCTATGAGTTTATGACTCTTTGTGCTTCACTCTGCCTGCCAGGGCTTTACTCTCAACTTTTACTCTGACCCGCTGAGTGTCCTGTATTGTAAGCTCTCATATCATATGCATGTTATTAATAAACCTGACAGAGATTTTCACCTTAACGCTGCTTGGATAAGATTTTTCTACAACACCCCAATTAGACTTACCCAGCCTGCTCTAAGGGGTTGTGATGTGATGATCTTCACTGATAAATGTCTTTCACAAGTTCATCATTATAATTTTCAGATGTTATGAATTCTGATTAAATATGCAAGCTGGTCTGACTATTGATCAGTAAATACTATTAATAAAAATCTACTTTTTGCTGTGAAATTGTTGAATGAATATACACCTGAGCTCAACAACAAAAATATTTATAGTTTTTAATCTGTTGTTTAATCATCAGAAGTTCATTTTCCAAGTTTCAAAAAGCTCTGATCGTTCTTGGAGTTAATTTAGAAATATTTACTGTGACTGAAACAGACGTTCCTGTTCTGGTGACTCAGAAACACTTTAACGTGTGACACCATGGCAGCCTCAGGTTAAGTCTTTATTTTATATCAAAGTTGTTTGTTGTAAGAACTTTTTCAACCCAAATAAGAGTAATTTTCTCTGGAGGATATTTCTTTTTTCCTTCTGCAAATTAAGCAACACATCTTCCAAGAGTTTTTATTAGTTTAGTGGGAATATTTCATCTTTTCTATTTCCCAGCTACACAGATGATCTCAAGAGAATAATTCCTAAATTAAATCTCCACATATTGTGTTTTGTCCACATTGTATGCTGTGCAGGGAGAAAACATGAGTCTTTACTTGGTGAGCTGTTACTGACCTGGCAACCTGTCAGCTCCTAAATGTCAACATATTGTGGCAGAACTGTAAACAGCTGCGTGTGTTATCTGGTCAATGTCACTTTCAGTGCAGGGAAACAAGCCTCTGCAGCACTATATGTACGCATATATCAGTAGGTAGACTGCTCTTTTCACATGACACTGATACTTAAAGCAAAGTAATTCACATGTTACCTGGCAACCTTGGATGAGCTGAGGGTGTGTGGTTATTTTGTCCTCTCAACGTTTGACGCTGTGATACAGAAAAGATGAAACACACATTGAACTTCCATTAACATGTAACAGGAAGGTTTATTGTTCTCATATGACGTACTGTTTATTCAAACCTTTTGCATTTTTAACTATCAAAATAAAAGCACATGAATTAACTATTCACAGCTTTCACAACTTTAACTCTGTACAGATAAAATGTACTTTAATATTTAAACATCTTAGCTTGTAACTGTATTGTTTTACTGAATAATAGTATTTTATCCGTTACCAAAAACCTACAAAACTGAAAAAGGTGCAATGCTCCTTTAATGCTGGTCTGTTCACTAAGCTTTGCTCATCAACAGCCGTTAGTTCACAATGTGGTAACAATATGGTTTCACTGGTTTTTCAGAAAGAAACTCCATTTCACTGATAAAGACATTAAAACAGCGAAATGTACAAAATCCAACAGTTCAGTGAATCCAGGAGTCCTGCTGCTGTTTCTCAGCTGCTCAACAGTCTGCTAGCATTAGCATCAATTAGCCTCCAGACTTATGTCCCGTTTTCTACACAGTACTCATCACAAACTGCATCACGTGACTCACTAGTTGACTCCCGATTCAAAAACCTCTTCAGCTCCTAAAGGTCATCAACATTTATGCATCAAGATACATTTTACTGACCTGAGAGGCAGAAAACATGACACACAAACGTTGCGCTTCCATTAGCATCGAGGAAGGTTTATTCTTCTTCTGCGTGCACAAACACCAATGCGACAGACGCCCCCCAGCGGTGGTATGTGGAATCGCGCTGAAGCTGAAATAACGCTAAAGAACGTCTTCCAATGAGAAACTAAAGATAAAGAAATAATGTTGGTGTCTGTGTTTGTTCTCAGTGTTTTCATCACTTACAGCTTGTTTGTTTTTCACGGGTCGACACACACAAGTTAATTTCGAAAATAGCTAACTCTTCACAAATTATTGTATTCATATATTCCAAAAAAAAAACTGAGTGGAAGGAAAAGTTGTGGTAGAAAAAAGTGCACAAAAAGCAGATATCAGCATTGTGAGATTGTTTTAATGATTTTATTCTATTTTCAGAAGATGAGCCTGATATGTTGTGTCTGCATTAGAAAGCTTTAATGTTGTCATCTCTACCTCAACTAAACTACCTGGTTCCAAACTTAGAAAGGTCACACATCTTGGTTACTAATAAAAGGAATTTTTTCTAAGTTTAGCTGAAGTTGTTATTAAAACAACCTGGACTTCCTGAACAGAACCGCAGCCTGATGTCCTCCATGCCACGCTGCATTGAAGCAGTAAACAGGCCCACCTTTCTGTATTAAATATCCTTTAATGGTGTTATATAACATTCTAATCTTCTCATTGTTTTTTTTAATTTCATTTCATTTTGGAGAATAAAACTAAAAACTCTGCATGCATGTTCTCCCGATTCGCCACATGGGGGCGCTGTTGTCCTCCACGTCCATCCTTCATGAAACAGCAACACTGAAGAGCAACCAGAGACCTGCAACATGTTTCAGGCAACTCCATGTTTCCAATGAGCAGCAAAGAGAAACTCAACTCAGAGACTTTCTGTCGTTTCTGTGGAGACAGAAAAAGACATGAGGTTTTAAACGCGCTGAAGGTAAAAGAGCTTTATTTTAAACAGGAACATGTAGAGCTGATAAGTGCTCTGTGGACATGGCAATAATGACCGACAGCCGACAGCCAGTCATGATCATCACCAACGTAACGACGCCACAAACATGAAGCCTCTCACTATGTGTGCAGATTAAAACTGGCCTCTGTTTGTTTTTCTCCTGATGGACAGAAACATGAAGCGGGACTAAACTACGCTGCAGGTAGAAACTGTGAGTAATCAGCTTTGAGTTTTAAACCTGAAAAAACTGAACTTAGTTCTTCATGTGTTAAAAATAGTATTTTATTTCTTTTATCCAAGTTGTTGTCCAGAACTAATGTTTGATGAGTGTCCTCCGGTCGGGTCAGTGTGGATCCTTTCACCAGAACTGAAATGTTAGAAATGTTAGAAATGTTTCATTTCATCCAAAAGTTCAACGCTCCAATAAGAAAAACATCATAACTCTGTTTGTGGAGCTCTGATGAATGAATTCAATTGAACTTCTGTAATTTAACTCATGAACTCTACATTATGACCTCTACATTGTGACCTCTACATTGTGACCTCTACATTGTGACCTCTACATTGTGACCTCTACATTATGACCTCTACATTGTGACCTCTACATTATGACCTCTACATTATAACCTCTACATTGTGACCTCTACATTATGACCTCTACATTGTGACCTCTACATTGTGACCTCTACATTATAACCTCTACATTGTGACCTCTACATTATGACCTCTACATTATGACCTCTACATTGTGACCTCTACATTATGACCTCTACATTGTGACCTCTACATTATGACCTCTACATTATGACCTCTACATTATAACTTCTACATTATGACCTCTACATTGTGACCTCTACATTATGAAATCTACATTATGACCTCTACATTGTGACCTCTACATTATGACCTCTACATTATGACCTATACATTGTGACCTCTACATTATGACCTCTACATTATGACCTCTACATTATAACCTCTACATTATGACCTCTACATTGTGACCTCTACATTATGACCTCTACATTATGACCTCTACATTGTGACCTCTACATTGTGACCTCTACATTATGACCTCTACATTGTGACCTCTACATTGTGACCTCTACATTATGACCTCTACATTGTGACCTCTACATTATGACCTCTACATTGTGACCTCTACATTGTGACCTCTACATTATGCCTCTACATTGTGACCTCTACATTATGACCTCTACATTGTGACCTCTACATTGTGACCTCTACATTGTGACCTATACATTGTGACCTCTACATTATGACCTCTACATTGTGACCTCTACATTGTGACCTCTACATTGTGACCTCTACATTATGACCTCTACATTGTGACCTCTACATTGTGACCTCTACATTGTGACCTCTACATTATGACCTCTACATTGTGACCTCTACATTATGACCTCTACATTGTGACCTCTACATTATAACCTCTACATTGTGACCTCTACATTATGACCTCTACATTGTGACCTCTACATTATAACCTCTACATTTTAACCTCTACATTGTGACCTCTACATTATGACCTCTACATTGTGACCTCTACATTATGACCTCTACATTGTGACCTCTACATTATGACCTCTACATTTTAACCTCTACATTATGACCTCTACATTATGACCTCTACATTGTGACCTCTACATTATGACCTCTACATTGTGACCTCTACATTATAACCTCTACATTTTGACCTCTACATTGTGACCTCTACATTGTGACCTCTACATTATGACCTCTACATTGTGACCTCTACATTGTGACCTCTACATTGTGACCTCTACATTATGACCTCTACATTATGACCTCTACATTATGACCTCTACATTGTGACCTCTACATTATGACCTCTACATTGTGACCTCTACATTGTGACCTCTACATTATGACCTCTACATTATGACCTCTACATTATGACCTCTACATTATGACCTCTACATTATAACCTCTACATTATGACCTCTACATTATAACCTCTACATTATGACCTCTACATTGTGACCTCTACATTATGACCTCTACATTGTGACCTCTACATTATGACCTCTACATTGTGACCTCTACATTATGACCTCTACATTATAACCTCTACATTATGACCTGTACATTGTGACCTCTACATTGTGACCTCTACATTATGACCTCTACATTATGACCTCTACATTATGACCTCTACATTATGACCTCTACATTATGACCTCTACATTATGAACTCTACATTATGACCTCTACATTATAACCTCTACATTGTGACCTCTACATTATGACCTCTACATTGTGACCTCTACATTATGACCTCTACATTGTGACCTCTACATTGTGACCTCTACATTGTGACCTCTACATTATGACCTCTACATTGTGACCTCTACATTATGACCTCTACATTATGACCTCTACATTATGACCTCTACATTGTGACCTCTACATTGTGACCTCTACATTGTGACCTCTACATTGTGACCTCTACATTATGACCTCTACATTGTGACCTCTACATTATGACCTCTACATTATGAACTCTACATTATGACCTCTACATTGTGACCTCTACATTGTGACCTCTACATTATGACCTCTACATTATGAACTCTACATTATGACCTCTACATTGTGACCTCTACATTGTGACCTCTATATTGTGACCTCTACATTATGACCTCTACATTGTTACCTCTACATTATGACCTCTACATTATGACCTCTACATTATGACCTCTACATTATGACCTCTACATTATGACCTCTACATTATGACCTCTACATTGTGACCTCTACATTATGACCTCTACATTATGACCTCTACATTGTGACCTCTACATTATGACCTTCATTGTGACCTCTACATTATGACCTCTACATTGTGACCTCTACATTATGACCTCTACATTATGACCTCTACATTATGACCTCTACATTGTGACCTCTACATTGTGACCTCTACATTATGACCTCTACATTGTGACCTCTACATTATGACCTCTACATTGTGACCTCTACATTATGACCTCTACATTGTGACCTCTACATTATGACCTCATTATGACCTCTACATTATGACCTCTACATTGTGACCTCTACATTGTGACCTCTACATTGTGACCTCTACATGATGACCTCTACATTATGACCTCTACATTATGAACTCTACATTATGACCTCTACATTATGACCTCTACATTATGACCTCTACATTGTGACCTCTACATTGTGACCTCTACATTGTGACCTCTACATTATGACCTCTACATTATGACCTCTACATTATGAACTCTACATTATGACCTCTACATTATGACCTCTACATTATGACCTCTACATTGTGACCTCTACATTATGACCTCTACATTGTGACCTCTACATTATGACCTCTACATTATGACCTCTACATTGTGACCTCTACATTATGACCTCTACATTATGACCTCTACATTGTGACCTCTACATTATAACCTCTACATTGTGACCTCTACATTATGACCTCTACATTGTGACCTCTACATTGTGACCTCTACATTGTGACCTCTACATTATGACCTCTACATTATGACCTCTACATTGTGACCTCTACATTGTGACCTCTACATTGTGACCTCTACATTATGACCTCTACATTATGACCTCTACATTATGACCTCTACATTGTGACCTCTACATTATAACCTCTACATTGTGACCTCTACATTATGACCTCTACATTGTGACCTCTACATTATAACCTCTACATTGTGACCTCTACATTATGACCTCTACATTATGACCTCTACATTGTGACCTCTACATTATGACCTCTACATTATGACCTCTACATTGTGACCTCTACATTATGACCTCTACATTGTGACCTCTACATTATGACCTCTACATTATGACCTCTACATTATGACCTCTACATTATGACCTCTACATTGTGACCTCTACATTGTGACCTCTACATTATAACCTCTACATTATGACCTCTACATTATGACCTCTACATTATGACCTCTACATTGTGACCTCTACATTGTGACCTCTACATTGTGACCTCTACATTATGACCTCTACATTATGACCTCTACATTATGACCTCTACATTGTGACCTCTACATTGTGACCTCTACATTGTGACCACCGTTCAGTAGGATTATAAAGTTAGTTCTGGGGATTTTGATAGTTTGGCTCCAACATGGTTTGGGACGTGGCCTCTAAATAATTTTTCTCTGATAAATTTGGGCAAACAGCAGACACTGACCAGAGGATGTGACAGATGTGCGTTTTCTCATTTTAAACACATTGGACCTTATTAAGAGCATGAAAGTATTATGACAAAGTGAGCTGATTGGAGGCATTATTGGCAACATCCAAATGAACTGAATGGACTTGAGAGAAAGAAACTGGAGGAAACATCAGAAAGAGAAACTATCTGAATGTATTTAGATGTGAAATAGTAACAAATCTTATCTTTATGTCGCCAAACTCTCTTCTTAAAGCAGTTCAGTCAAACTAAGAAACGGCAGACAGAACTTTAATATTTTACCCTATTAATCTGACACACAGTGAACTCAGTGAATGTTGCATCAGTTAATATGGAAAGGTTTTCCATCAGTTGCTGTTTGTTTCTCTTCCTCCTGTTTTCCTCCAGAGGTCGGAGGTCATGGAGAACCTGACTCTGGCGGCCAACGCTTCAGGATGTTTCCCGGTGGAAACGCCGCTCAGGAGGAAGCTCTTCCTCCTCTAGTACCTGACCATCATCATCCTCTCCATCCCTGCAAATGCCTTCTCCCTGTATGTGTCGTGTCAGCACATCAGGCAGAAGAACGACCTTGGCGTTTACCTCTTCCATCTGGCGTTGAGCGACCTGACCTTCACCTTTGGCCTCTCGCTGTGGATGGACTTCCTGTGGAGAGGCGTCTGGACCCACGGAGGCTACGTCTGTTTGGCCTCCATCTACTCACTCTACACCAACTTCTACACCAGTGAGGCTCTCCTCTGCTGCATCGCTGTGAACCGCTACCTGGCCGTGGTTCATCCGCTCAGGTTCGGCTGGATGAGGAAGGTCAGCACCGCCGCCGGGATCTCCGTCACCGTCTGGGTTTTGGTGATGGGCTTCAATGTGTGCACCATCACCTGGGCGGACTCCTACTATGAAAACAACATGTTCTCTTTGTGCTACGATATCTTCCTGCCGCTGTCTAGTGCCAGCATCGCTCGCTTCGTGCTGGGCTTCGTGGTTCCGGTTCTGATCGTGTTTTTCTCCAGCCGGAGGACGCGCCTGGCAGTGAAAGCCAACAGAGCCACGATGGACCAGGAACGGCTGCGGATCTCAAAGCTGCTGACGGTGGTTCTTCTCTGCCTGTTGGTCTGCTTCGGACCGATCCATGTTGCTCTCATGGTCCGCATGCTGTTGGACGGCTGCGAGAGTTTTAAATGGTTCCTCCACATTTACAAGGTCAGCACTGCTATATCGACCATGAACTGCCTGGCAGACCCTCTGCTCTACTGCTTCATCACCAGAACAGGGCAGGAAAACATCCAACAGGCTCTGCTGTTCTTCTTCAGGAAGCAGAAAAGGACAGAAGTCATGAACTGTATCACTTAAAGAGGAAAAGTTTTTGCAGAATCAGCAGGTTTTCATTCTGCTGCCCACTGATTTGAATGTTTAAGCTGAACATAAACATAAGTGGACATTAAATTCCTCCTGGATGATGAAGCATTTCATCCTGTCTCTACAGTCAGACGTCCAGTCAGGAAACTCATTTTTCTGTCTTTTAATTTAATTACTACCAAAACCTCGACGCCATCAGGTCCTCATGTAGGAGGAAACTTCACCGTCTGGATCTGGTTTTCTGGTTTTCTGGTTCCAGGGTCGATGGCTGCTGCAGGATGAGAGAAACTGCAGCAGCAGCCTGCAGTTAGTTTCAGTTTAATGCAACATAATGACCCAAACCAGAATGGCCAGTGTGTTTTTAAAACCATCAAACTGGTTCAGGATGAACTGGAAACAACATGAAGGCGTCGGACATTAAGACAAGAACATCCTGAAGATTATCGGATTTCTGTTGTAGAAGAAATATCACAAATTAATTCAGCTCTTCAACCAAAGGTGACTTTGATGTTTTTATAAAGATGATCTATACCTGCATTTCATAGAACGCTGAGAAATAAAATTGCATAAAAAAGAAAAATTGTTGTTCTAAACCTTTTAACTGATGTTTGAAGAGGAGTGTGAAGGTCAACCATTTAAAATGATCTGAACCTTTTGATGGATGCTGTAACTCATGCTATGTTTAATGTGTTTTGTATTCATATGGTCACATGAATCCCATCCTGACGATCCGGTTCAGGCTTTTATCTTGGCTTCCTGTGTTTCCTCAGGTTTTGCCAGGTTTTTCTGTCCAGTTTTCTGTATTTGCAGGATGAGGAGCGATAAGGTGCTGCAGTCTCTGCTCTTTAATAACTGGACCAGTTAATGAGCAATTGTTACCATGAGACGACGGTTTGAACTCCGGCCTCCTGACTGTCACAGCTCAGTTTATTACTCTGTTTTGGGAAATATGTTGCTTTAGGTAAATATAAATATTTCAATGTTTAATAGTTGCTATAGTCATGTTTCAGTGTTGAACACACATACTGCTGAGATGTGAATAAATATCCTGGAAACTCCAGGCCTTCCTGTGATCCATCCTTCATTTTTACTTTATGTTTTCATTTCTCCCACCAGGTTTGGTAGTTTAATTAAAATCAGTTTGCAGGACGAACTTTATCAGCAGAACCTCTGCTGTGATTCTGCTAACAGGAACGTTTGTTTTCCATCTGCCCAGCAGGGAAACATCAACTGATTTTAACCTTTCACCTTTCGTTGTTTTTATAACAGACGCTTTATTCAGCCCAATTTCTGTTTAACTGCATTAACAGATAAATATCCATGACAAACAAATATTATCACAGTTTATTCCTTTGCAAATTTGATTAATATGCATTTATTAGTTTTCAGTTTCTTCACATTTCTGAACGTTTTAAGCAAAAATAGAGACTTTAATAATTTCCATCCTTAAAAGGGAAAACGTCCCACTTTAAACTGTAAATATTATTCACTCTGTGGTTGTGAAACGTTTGCAACAGACCTGTGGATGTATGCTGCTCTCTGGTGGACATTGTAGGAAATGCAGCCACACTGATTTGCAGTTTAACTTCATATTTTTCTGTGATGCCAGGCAGAATAAAAACATTTGTTCACTGAATGAGAATCATCTAAAGCCAAACTTTCATTCCTCTCATTGATGACGATAATCAAGATTCTATTTTGGCTTATAAAGTCTATCTAAACCCACAGACGTTCAATAAACAAGAACATTATTGAAAATTATTTGAGGAACTTTCACTCGTTATATAAAAATATTATTTAGATAAATTACACTGTGATCAATATTTGCAAGCCTCTATTTCTGTTACTTATGATGATTTTCCCAGGAAATGAAAACATTGATTTTATTAGATAAAATCAGTAAGAATTCATTGCTGATTAAAATAATTACGGTAAGTGGAGTTGTTTGTTTTTGATAATATTATTATATATGTTCACAAGTGTTTCCTCTAATATTCATCACTGTGTTCATTTAGCAGAATCTAATAAACATGAATCATTAAAAACTTGTTAATTATAGAGTTCAGATGAACATAAAGTTCAACAACATCAGTTTGGGAAAACAGAGCTGAAGATTTGAATTTAAAATGTACATTTCTGCAGGTTGACACGACGACCTGCAGGATTGTCGTCTCCAGTGTGAAACTTTGTTCAACAAACTGCAGCTGCTTCACATTTATCTCGCTACAAACGCAAACAACATGTTGAATGTTGCATGTCACCAAAAGCAGATTATAGTTTGTGAAGTGGAAAGAAAATGAGATGATTTTCAAACAAATGCTACAATCAAAAACAGAGAAGTTTGATGTGCTTTCAAGAGTAGCAGGTCTGCTGATGTCACGGACTTTTGTCTGATTTTATGAAAAAAATCATAAAATTGAGCCAAGAAACCAGGAAAAGTGTTGATGATTGTCTGGTTCATCCTTGAAAACAGATCCACATTTATCCATTTATTAAACAGTAAGTTCGACAGCGAGGAAATGTCCGGTTCAGAGATGGACGGGTTCTGGACGGGTTCTGGACGGGTTCTGGACGGGTTCTGGATGGGTTCTGGACGGGTTCTGGACGGGTTCTGGACGGGTTCTGGACGAGTTCTGGACGGGTTCTGGACGGGTTCTGGATGGGTTCTGGACGAGTTCTGGACGGGTTCTGGACGGGTTCTGGATGGGTTCTGGACGAGTTCTGGACGGGTTCTGGATGGGTTCTGGACGGGTTCTGGACGGGTTCTGGACGAGTTCTGGACGGGTTCTGGACGGGTTCTGGATGGGTTCTGGACGGGTTCTGGACGAGTTCTGGAGGGAATCGTCTGAATCAACCTGGAACAAACTAACAGCTGAGTTCTGTCACCAGCAGGGGGTCCAGCTAACGAGCCTCAGGAACCCGCTGGGTTCATTTGTCTCAGAGTCTCTGTGTGACAGACCGGCCACCTGTCCAGGGTGACCTCTGCCGCTCAGCCAGTGACCCCCGACAGGGCCACAAATCTGCTGCTTGCACATTTCACTGGGTCTGAAAAAGACTAAAAACCAGCAGAACGAAGAGAGAATTTACACATGAAGGCAGCATCTGCTGTTCCTCACTTGTTCCCTTCACAATTCTCCCAGCAGCCAGAAGATGTTGTGAGGAAGTGAAGAGGTGATGCACTAAGAGCGACAGGAAGAGGAAAAGTTGGAGGAAGTGCCAGACGGTGGCCCCGAGCGGCGCAGCGGGTTTGACATGAACTGAAACGCAGAGACGAGAACGCCGCCTGGCAGCTTCGACATCTGACACTGAAATGAAGAGGTGCGACGTGAAGTCATCAGAACCGAACCGGACCGGACCGGACCGGACCGGAGATCCGGAAGAGCAGCTGGTTCCAGGAAGGTTTCATCAGAACAGGAGCAGTTAGCTTCATTCCACCTCAGTAAATGTGCTAAAACTGTTGAATGTGACTGAAACCATTCAGTTACTGCAATAAAAATGTGCATTATTTTTAGGTTTGTGGCATAAATTCATTCCCAGCTTCAGAGGCGTCAGAATCTCTTTTCTTCTTCACACTTTGCGCCACACAGTGGATATTTTTAGAGACGGAAGATTTCCGACGAACTGAATGAAAGTAAAGCAACAAGTAAAAACATTTTCCAGGTCAGAACAAAATCTGAGCTCGCTTTTACATTTTGCAACAAAAATATGAATTCTGTAGTATTCTGGTTTTTCTACTCGGCTGGTTTTTACCAGATTTCTGTACATTTCCTGCATAAATACACGCAGTTTTCTCTGTCTGACATGAAGTTAGGCTGAGGTTTTATGTTTGTTCTTCTGAGTTTTGTAGATTTAAGCTTTCACTGCTTTGGTAAATCATTTAGTGTGTTCGTGTTTATTTTGGTTTTCCTGAGTGGAGCAGCAGCATGATGCTGCCACCACCGTGCCTCGCTGTGTGGATGGTCCTGCCCAGTTTCAGTGTTTTTATACATATTTTACCCCGAGGTTCAGTTCTGATCTCTCATCACTGAGCTGGTAAATGTTTGTGGAGTTTCTACTATTTTCATCTTGCATATGAAAGATCAGAAAGTGCGTAGGAAGCTCTAAGTTACGATCTTTGTTTGGGAACTATTGACAGCTGGGTTTGAACTCGTTTCATGCTCCTCAACCTTCCTTTGATTGCTCTGGCTAATATTAGGTTGTGAGCCCACGCATGCTGTCAGCGGCTCCGGATGGAGCCTTTATTCTCACACACACACACACACACACACACACACACACACACACACACACACACACACACACACACACACACACACACACACACACACACACACACACACACACACACACATGCACCCACGCACAGACTCCTCACTGATGAATTGCTCCATTAAAGACGCCTCAACAGTCTCTGTGGTGGAAGGAAAAGTAAAGTAGCTGCTTCTAAACTCTGGTACAAATCAAGAAGCTCGGTTCCTAAAAAGATGCAACAGGTCGAGACTTTCAGATGAATAAACTCCTAACAGTTTGTTTCTTCTCATTGTGTTGGTTTTTCTGCTTTTATTCACACTTTAACTGTTCAGGATGAGATCAGACTCTGGTGGTAAATACACACGTTTACAGTTGTTTAAAAAAAGAAACTTTTATCTTTATCACAACAAAATATGGTGCTCAACTTTAAGTCCCTCCTTCACAGACGCATGGTGGTACCAGGCTGGGATGAGGTTCTGAGACCGACCCGTTCCTTCATAAACAGTCTGCTGAACAGCTGCTGAACAGGACTGGTGCAGATTTCATTTCAGAATCAATACAACTTGATTCCAGCAGACTGACTCATTAGTAAGTCAAAGTGAGTGAAGGTTGGATGGTTTCTGCTGCAGATCGGGTCGTTGCTCCTCCTGACAGAAGATGCAGAGTTATGTAACACTGCAGCACACCGGAGATTTATTTAAATATCTCTCAGGCACCAAAAACCATTCATTGCATTTTAGAAA